ATAGATGGTAAAACTTTCTCTGCTGAAAACAGCTGTGGGAAGCAAGGGTGCAGTGGCCCTGCTGTAAGGATCTTTGTGCGCTTCCACACAAGCGTTGAGGGAACCAAATTTTGAGGGACCTTGTGATCTGGAGGATGTTACTAGTCTCTGTTATCTAGGGTACCAGGAAAGCTGAGGAACAACAACTTTAGTCTCAGCCCTGGGCCCTGGCTTGAGCTTCTCAGAATAGCAAGGCTGTGGTGAACTCGGGTCTTGCCTTTCTTGTCCCTGCCACTTACTAGTTTTTGCAGGTAACAAAGACTAATAGAAAACACTTGCGTTAGCAGCATAGCTGCACAACCTTTTGCCTTTCTGGTGGTCATTTTTAAGTTCCCTGAATCTTGGGATGATGCCATTGAATGACAGACAATAAAGTCTCCCAGAGATGATGACACCTGAATGTTAAATATAAATCAGACAAAGAAACCATCTTGACAGCCCACGTTTTTCAGTCCTACGTGATACAAGCAAACATGTCTTTTGCCTTTCATCTCTCAAAAAATCCTCTTTTCATGCTGTGTAAGTTTTCCCTTCAGAGCCCTTGACAGCTACGTTCCCACAGCTCATGTCAAACCGCTGAGCACTCTCTCTGTGGCACACGGGGATAAGCAAGTGACCCCACTGAAGCCTTGTATATCTCTCAGCAACAGCTACATGCAATCTTTCCGTAACTTTATCTTTGACCCAGTAACGACTCACTGTTTTTTTCATAAAGCATTGGTTTTTCCTTTGTAGGATCTTGATCGTGGTCCCAAATGGAAAGCATGAGGTACACAGGTTTTGGATATATCTGGTCATCAGTATGTGCCAGCTCAAAAGCCCTTGCAAGCAACCCTGAAAAACAGAAATGCACTGATGGTTGGGTGTTACCACCTGCTGTAGACCAAGTGGATTGAAGATAGCAGACCTAGAATTGATGCCACTGAAAATGCTGCCTTAGTAAATAAGTAACATCTGCCCTGGCCCTTCACATTTACAAAATAACTTACAAACTTTAATTAATCACCAGAGCATTTGTGTTATGTTGTAGTAAATACTATTCATAGGTAGCAGTAAATATTTTTCATCCACTCATATGGATGTCAATTCTGCAGCTGAGAGATTAAATAAGCCAACTAAAGCCACATAGTATGTCCATGTCTGTCCAAGCACGGCTCAGAGTTCAGTCGTTGCCATTTGAGAGCCCAGCACTAGTGGGCTGTGTGTGTATCACATCCTGAAGCATGCTCACCATCATTGCTCAGTGATCTCGCCAAGTGTCTGTGCTGGCATCAAGGAACAAGGAAGAGCCTGAGACAGCAACCGGCTACGACCCAGAGACTTACCTAGGGCACCTCCTGATCAGCGCCTGGGAGCACGGCTCCTTTTCCCGGGGAAGGTTGGAGACTGTACTGGGTTGGAGTTTATTTTCTTCATAGCAGCTCGTCTTGTGCTGTTTTAGATTTGTGACCAAAATAATACTGATAACGCACTAATGTTTTAGTTATTGCTGAAAAGTGCTTTGACAGCATCGAAGCCTTCTCTGCTTCTCACTCTGCCTCCCCAGTGAATAGGCTGGCGGTGCAGGCTGGGAGGGGACACATCCAGGCAGATGGCTGGAACTAACCAAAGAGATATTCCACACCGTATAATGTCATGCTCAGCAATAAAATGGAGAGGAGGAGGCCTAGGGAGATTAAGCATCTTTTGCTCAGGAACTGGCTGGCCATAGATCTATCTGTCTCAGGCCAAATCTCGAGAAGCTAAAGACTTGGAGACAGTTTCTCCACTGCCGTACATCAGCGTAGCTTAACGTATTTACCCTGATTTACAGCAGGTGAAGATTGGGTCCATCTCCTTTATACTAGCCTGAGAATAATGCTTTTGTTAAGAAGCTTTTGGAATTGCTGACAGGAACCCCTATGCATTTATGATTCAGACTTCAGACATCACTTTCTGGTTCCTCCAGCTCTTGCAGAGGGAATCTTCCCAGGACAGGTTTCTCCTCTTATTTAGATGGCTTCCTCTGACTTACAAGGGAACCCAGAAAGAATTCCTCTTTCTACATAGATATCACACCCTAGACGCAGTCTCACTATACTCCTTAAATGAAGAAGGTAAAAATGCATGTTATTGCCTCTACGCTTGAGGATGAATCTCTCAGCAGTATGTCACACAAGTGTGGTCACAACAACTGCTTCACTTGTACCCTTATCTCACATTTAACCTTTCTGATACGTCAGGATTCTTTTCTCCCCTAAACACATACTTCCTTTAAGTAACATTATCGCCCTTAAATCCATTTACACTTATTTAAAAACCTATAGCCTTGAAAGTCAAGACACTTGAACTCAAGGCTTTTTTAACTCTAGGAGGTGGTACCAACTATCAGAGACAAGCACAGGCCAGGTAGTGCCCATTTTCCTGCCCAAAAGAGAATGTGCTAAAAAGGTCTTTCATTCTCATCACCTTTACATGTGTATCTCCCCTCCTGCGTCCAAAAGTAGCTACGAAACTGTCATCAGGGGCCGGCTGCTTGAAGGCGAGAGGTGTCCTCCTGATAGTGAATAAGAGTTGATGAGTAAAACGTGAACCACCATGAAGAGTTTGAATGAAGAGAGGAAGCATCACTTCAGTGAGATAGAGAAGGTGAAATGATGAAGCTGTGTAAAGAGAAGGGTGATACAGAAACGTGAGGGATTAAGAAACTCTTTGCAAGTAGCATCATGGGTGGATGCAAGTGAGGTAAGTTTGCTCAAATCAAATTCAGCTCCACCATAACTCAGTGGAATAGTTGCATTTGCATACTTACTTCTCTAAGGCAGGGAAATGAGAGAGGAAGAATGGAGTGATGGTTAGGGCCATGCTCAGAGCTGACATTGTGTCACTGAGCGTGCCTCAGATCACTGCATTTATGGGGAAGGTTAGGGATTGTGTCTTCCACACACAGCAAGTTATAGATCAGGATCCTTAGATTTGGATTGAGAGATTTGCGTTTTATCCAGTCGAATACATTTTTCATACTATTAGGTGCAAAATGCATAGATCACTGGTCAATATCCTGAGCTTTCATTTATTGGCAACGCATTAAACTAGACACTTTCTTCCTCGTTATGCTGTGATAAACCCTCCATTAAAACTAGTCTTGTCTTGCAACACTTACAAAATGTGGACAAAGCAAGACTTACCTTCCCCTCTGTTCTTTCTGTGTCACTTTGGGTATTTGTGACTACTTAAAGACCTCAAGGGCGTTACTTCTGGCTGCTGTCTGTCACTGACACTCACCTTGCCCACTAACCCATGTTGGATAGGCTCTTGCATGATTCTTTTCCAACTCAGACCTACATGAAACTGAATTGTCTTGGGTCATCACATCACAGATACAGTCACCACCCTGTGAGAGTTGTTGCCTAGACAAAATTCTGGCAGGACTGAAGGCTTCTCCTGCTAAAGAAAAATATATCATATGAAGTCCTGTTGGTTTTCAGAATCCTTGTGGCTTGCTGACTGAGCAGTTCTCTTGAGTTAAGTGGAATTACGCACGCACGTGAAGTCATCCAGGTGTGGTGACTACAGGACTGGGAACTTCCTGGTTTCTTCCTGGTTAGTAAATGTTACTTATGTTTAAGTTAGTGAAATGGAAGGAATGGCTGTGCAATCAATCAAGCAGCACTTGAAGAGGAAGGAAACATTATACAGTATTTATTTATTTATCCGTCACTTACGGTCTGGTGAGCATAGCAAAGTGCTGCAATTGCTGTTATTAGCAAATCTGGCTTTTACACTAATTTGTAGATGAATAAAAAATATTTATATAATTATAGACTGCTTGACTGGGCTTTGTCAGGGACTTTGAAGAATCTTAATTCAAAAGCACTCAATTTCTATTTTATTTGAGTAAAACAGCCAAAAAACCCAAATTTCTTGTTCATCCGTATTCAATCTCCATTTAAGAAACATTTGAAGCTTGATTTCAGTGGAGTTGCATCTTAAAAATGTATACATTCTGACATCACATGGTGCCTTCAGTGTCCCCCATTATCAAATATTTGCATAAAATCAGAGCACGTTTCTAGCTTCTTGACAGATGTCAGTGAATAGTTCTGCATAATTTGCAAACTACTGTTCGTGATGAAATGTTCCAAAAAGCTTATTGCTATCTTTTATTCAGTAATGATTTATATATCATTTTATTATATACTTTGACTTGATCTCCAAACACATCAAGGAAAAGTATCTTTCTTCACCCAGTCTGATAAAAAATAAGCAAGGATGATGAACATTAAAAAGGGAAAGGAAAAGAAATGTAAGAAAACAGGACTGTCTAGATTCACAGATCAATCGCTGCGCAACTTAATATTCAAGATGATTGAAAGCATTTGTTTAAATTAAATAGTGAAATAGACCATCCTCAGCAGTGGACAATGCAGTCGCCCTTCTTCAATTGCTTTCTGATTTGGAGTTCATAAAAATACAACAAGAATTTATGTTAGTTTTTCAATTTGTAAAACCTTGTTTGTGCACAATGAAGCTAGATTTCAACTGTTTTTTGTTTTCATGAGCAAGTTGGTCCCTTCTTTGAAACAGTATACCAGTACTCCCTTGTTGGAAGAACTGCCTCTGTCTGAGGCATATGTGATTGCATAAATAATCAACACCACAGTAAAATCACTTGCTGTCTGATTACGTTTTATTCCCTTAAACTATATTACGTTTTATTCCCTTAAACTATCTCCTGTGAAACACCCAAACCATAACATGTAGAAAATCAAAAGATATGTAATTGTTGTCTTATTCTGCTACCCATCATCCAGTACCTTATGATATTTTCTGGTAGTTTTAGTGTTTTAGAGAGTTGCTGGGTTTTTTTAAGACATCTCTGTAAGTATGACGATATGCAGAATATTTTCCTTGGCTTATGTCTTCTTTGGTAGAGCCTTTTCTCTTCTTTCCCTCTTTCTTTCAAATAGAGGGAACCAGACTTAACTAACTTCAGCAGAATCGATGCTTCCTTGATCTTGATTGCCTTCTTTGACTAATACCAAATAATTTAAGCCCTCTTGATTCCTTGTTTCCATTAGCATGGCTGAAAGAATACTGTCCGAATCTGCACATGGAACATCATCACTATCTGCATTTAAAAAAAAAAGACACCAGCCCAGTGATATACGTGTAGTATTAGAAAGCAAATGAAATCAGACAGCTGTTGGAGAAAGTTGGTCTAGTGACTGCATAAAGAGTGACTGATGATTCAAATTTATTTTCTGCTATTGCCTGTGCGGATTATAGCTTTAAGTAAATCACTTAGGGAAGGTTGGTCATCACCATTCATACCCCCACAGGCAGCAATACAGTTACGAATACATGACTTGCTTCTTTTGTTAGTAAAGATAGCCTGCATAAAGCCAAAATGATTTTAATCTGTACCTTTGTGTAATCCTGCTAATAATACTGCTAAAGAGTCCTGTAACATAGGCAGTTTTTTACCTACTAAATCATTATATACCGTCTCTCTAAAGGACTTGTAATATTCTGTCTTTCTAGAAGCTTGAACTTGGCAATCCAGTGTGGTTTTCCCATTTCTAAAAATGTCATATTTTTTCCCTAATTTGATGCTGTTCACATATACAGAGTTGCCTGAAAGCTATCGCAGGAGATATATCTTTTAAAAAATGTAAAAATGATTAACTAAGTTATAACTAAGTTTACTAAGCTCAAGTTATAATTGTTGCTATTTCTTGCATTTATTTTTGTAACATGTACCTTCTTTTATTACACTCCCTCCTTATTTTACTTCACAAGTGGAAAATTAAGCACGTGACATTCAGGGTTATCTGTTCAGAAGAATCGCAAGCATTGTGCTGTTGCACCAGGCAACATAAAATTTATTATGTCACTATAATCACACACACCCCCAACCTATAAAGTCAGAAGTTTGTTCCGCATGCTAGAGTCCATTATGAAAGATTATCAGGGCAAGTCTGAAGGAGAATTTTGATTTTAGAAACCTGTTAGCAAGATGGGGATTGGGACATAGAGCAAACTGTGGTCACATACCACCGTGACTGACAGCTACGAAAAATCATTTGATACTCACTTTGTCAGTTCAGGACTATTATGGCAATATTTAGTAATTCAGTCCCGAGTAAGCCTTTACCAACCAGTACAGCTTTTCTTTGTATTTAGTTTTTGTTTAATAAAGCTTTTAATGGGAACCCTCAGGGGCAAGTTACTTTGGAAAAGGCACACTGGCAAATATGAGGGCATGTTTGCAGCAAACTCTTAAGAGAGAAACCTTAAAATAAGGACCCAATTAAAACTGGGTATTTACAGACCAGACATATGCCGGCTGACCTGCCTAAGTATAGAACACTAGAGGAGCATTCAGATTTGTTTCCTGTATAAGTATCTGGAACTGATGAGGTGATGTTTACACAAATGTGAGTATGAGGTCACTGAGATATTTTTACCAGATATATAGATACATTACTAATTCTTTCCCCAACAGGTCTGAAGAACTACAGAATATATAAAATATTATAATCCTTTTTCAGCGTATGCCCCACTGCGTTTCTCATTATAGAGAAAAAGAGCTAAAAAAATCAAACACCTTGCCTTGGTTTTACTTTTTGAGCTTTGGGGACAAAATAAGCAAGAAAGACTATTTTTGCAGAATATTCTTACCCTATCCAAAGACAGAGGAAGAATATAATGTTGATGTCCTTTCTCCTACGACATGACACATACAAGCTACATTGCCACTTTCACAATGAGATTTTTGACTACAAGTGCCCTTTCCTTCACTGTTGTGTCATCTCAGCACAGTGTTCGGCACCTATGAAAGCTTAGCACCATTCTGCTGTACAAGCCAAAAAATCTATGCAAAGATGTCAAGTTATGTAGTGCAATGCTTGCCTCTCGTGTAAGTTAGCAAAGCAAGCAAATAATTTTTGCTCACTTAGGTATATGATGGATGGAGATAGAAGACACTTAAAGTGAGCAATCATGTCTTGTGAAATTCCCCCAGAAATGTGAGAGTTAGAAGCACCACCAATACCCTAGGAAGCCATAAGCCAATGCAGAGAATTCTAAATAATCTTTGGAAGCCCCTTCCAAAAAAGCGTTAAGAATTTGAAGGAGGATAGAGAGAAGCTGGAGTGGGGAGGCAGGTCAGTATATTCATGAGATAACATTCTTTTCTTTTCAGTTTTAACATTGCTAAAATTAGTTGATTGATGTACAGTCATGCTGGGTTATACGTGAGTAAATGCAGGATAAACCATGTGATGTGATCCCCTCAGATTTCACAAGCAAAGCCTGGCTGAGCCAACCAAATGCCCCGAGAGGAGCCGTCCAAGGAACACCTTCATGGAATCTCAAGTCGTGCTGGGGAGTCAACTCCAAAACGCTTAAATCCTGAGGGATTGTCTACACTGTAGACTGCTGCATAGTGTAGAGTTACCCACATTTGCTTTAAACAACCTACCTCAGGGCATGAGGCAGGCTAGCTCTGGCAGTCCAGAGCTTTGTACAGGCTGAAAAGTACTCTGCTGAGAAGCAGGTTCCCATTGAGCTCTGTGCTCTCTCAGGTAGACTGCTTCCAGTAACTAAAATGGCACGTTCAAAGCTCAGCACTGTACTTGCATAGATACCCGTCTCAGGTCCTAAATGCATGTAGCTTTGACCTTGCTGGACACTTTTCCTAGTAGTGGTGTGCTTAAAGCACAACATCTGAGCCAAACTGCAGGTAAATTAATTACAATGCATCTCTCCACGAATAGGCGGAAGCTTACTTTAGAGAGCCCCGCATTAATTGACACAAGAAACTGCGATCGCCTGACTCATACTAATGAGGGATGGAGTTTGCTTGCTTAGCCTCCTCTGAGGAGACCAATCCTAACCTGATAAAATCTGTGCTTCCCCCTTCCCAATCTCAGCATCTCAGTCGGCTGCTTCCTGCCGCAGGGCAGCTGCAGTGCCGAGCTGGGTCATGTATCCTGTCTCCCGATCACAGAGCGTCTTTCCTTGCCTGCTCCGTAGGCTGTGTGGGCTCACAACATGTTTTGAAGTCCTGCCTGGAAGGGTGCAAATGTTTACAGTGTCTTGATCAGCAGATGGTTTTTTGGGTGTTTAAGTTCAGAAGGTGACAACATATAAGAAGAAAAAAAAGTCAGTAGAAAAGCTGATTGGTAGAGACTGAGCAAACTGATCTAGTGATACTGATCTTCTATTACAGCTATTTCAGGGCCAGATCCTCAGCTAGCACAAACTAACAAAGCTCCATAGAAACCAGTGGGATGCCACTGATTTACACCAGCTAAGTAGCCAGCCTGAGACGTTACTTATTCTGGGTAACACAATCCCATATGATGCTTAGCACCTTCAATATGGTAAGGTATTTAGAAGTGTAGCCACATTTACTTTTTCCCACTAATATCCTCTTGCTTTTCTCATACATGCTCTGCCCTTTGTCCCTGCCACACAATGTACGTGGTCATAAACAAGAGACTGTCTGACTTATTGGCATGGCTGAAAGATGTACCCCACAGTCAACACATTCAAAAGAAGCGCTTGATGACATATCTTTGTTAAGGATGAAAAAGGTGGCTATTGAACCCTGACTTCTCCATCTCAGCTATGTTGGTTAGCTCAAGGAGATATAGTTCCTGTATAGAGAGTATTTTCCTGATACCTGCTGGCCACCTGGAGCTGGAGGTGCTGTGTTTCAGTTTCTGCATGTTGCCAGTAAGAATATAAATAGAACAAATATATATCCGTTTTAATACTCCACTCTGTATTATATGTCAGTGGAGATATATCTGTGTTTCCTGTCTAATGAAGCATATTATCTTGCATGTTTTGAGGGTGACTCACCAAGCTTTACTATTCTGTCACACATTAAAGGTTCTAAAAGTAAGAATTTTGCTCATCCTGCATTTCCACTGCACTAAACTGCTTGAAGCATTGACTACCTGTCTTTCTTCTTATTTTAATAGATTTTTCAGAGATTTGTGGACTGAAACCTCTGTGTGCAAGAAGCTGTCTTGGGAAATACAGATGTAAACCTCTCTATCTCGTTTATTAACATTTATAATATAAGAGCACCAAAAAAGGTCAGTTCCACATTTGCTGCAATACAATAAGGCTATATAAATAGGAAAGCACCCCCCTTCTCCAGGTCACAAAGCAGGATTCATTTTAATAAATTTTAATCACCCAGATCTTACGTGTCCAGTTTAAGCTCCTTGCCTAGGCTGCCTTACCAGTCAATGGAGAGAGAAAGGAGGAATGAGTCCCTTTGTGGAGATGCTTATTTCACATCCTTACCTTTACGCAGTAACATCCCCTGAAACTGTCTACAACTCTCTGGTGACTGTCAAACAGCCTAGACAGCCATTATAAATGCAGTGCCTAAGTTTTAGTTGCTTATATTGATACACCTATACTACACAAATGTCAGCTCTTATAACATATAACCTGATTTTTTTTCCTCAGTCCAAGGCAAAATATTAGCATGATTTTCGTTGCAGTATCATATGGTTGACGTGCGCTCTCTGCGATCAAAGAGCATTTGTCTAGGGGACAAATAAGAAACAATCACACCACCAAGTCCCCCTTTTCCTGCAGCATTGTAACCATTCACCGTTTTGGAAGAAGCCTTTTCCCTGACCTCCGCTGGCTTTGGGTCAGCCACTCACTAAGCTAAGTGGGGAAGAGGATTACTGAATTTCAGAAAAATACAAAGGAGAGTAGATACAAGGTTTTAAAAATGTCTCTTATCAACACATCTTACTTTAGAGAAGCTTCCGTTTGTCCAAGTGATTACTTTAAGTTCAGAGAGGTGTGCAGAATAGTTTTTAAAAGGCAGCTGGTTTTAGGAAAATAAACTGATTACTCTTACCCGGGGAACAGCAAACCAGTATTACACTCAGACAGCAGAGAGGGCAGACATATAATTAATGGTGAAATCACTGATTCCAGATTTTAATATCAAATCGCATCGATACAAAGTTTTGCACTGAGATTTAAAAAATAATTAAAAAAAAGGTGACATTTTTAGCAAGTATCTTAATTGCTGAAAAAAGTAAGTACACTGAGTCAGTGACTTTGGAAAGAAAAGCGAGAAAAGGGAACATTACAAAATTCTGTTTTATCGTCCCACATTTTTCAAGCAACATCTCCAGTTTAGATATTTTAAAATGATGGTTTTGAGGTAAAATGTGTTTCCTTTTAGCCTTTAGTCTTTTGCCCCGGATTTCCTCCCTCCAACTGCCCTGCATCTCCTCTCGCCAGAGGAGACACTTCTAGCAGTCAGAGTGTGGTGCTGTGACACAGCTTCTGAGCAATTAGACATTTTTTCCTTACAGGTCCAAAAGGGATTGTGGGGAGCAGCACTGATAAGAATAGTCCTCCTGGGTCATAAAGGCAGGGAGCTGCTCCAGCTGCTTAATGCCCAGTTGTCTGATGTCGGCAAAGATGTTTGCCAAAACAAACAGGTGTTTCCATCCATGAAGGGGCATGCTTGGGACCCGAAAAAATATAGTGCTGTCTTGTATGTACAAATGTAAAAAGTTATGTCTGAAAATAGATGGACTGGTTATTTTTACAGCAATGCAGGGCCATCTTGTTAGCATGCTGATTCATGACATTTCATTTTCACTTCTTGAAACTGGGGGAAGAACAGCCTATCTTTCAGCAATGAATGGGGACTCTGGTGACGGAGCCTCTGCTCAGTCAATTCCCACTGGATTCAAAACCCACTGGTGTCTCAGTCCTCCAGCTGGATAGTGCTTCCCTCACTGAAAAAAATGTTGTTAATGCTACTTAATGCCCATGATCAATGTCCTGGCAAAGCCTGTAAGAGCAAGAAGGAAAAACTCTAAACTGGTAGACCTGTTCCTGGTCCTGAGTTTGCTTCCCTCCCTTCTGAAGCAGCAATGCCAGGAGCTGCTGGTATTGCTCAGGCATATTTATTGCCACTTGATGTCTCCTTTAGAAGGGTAACTCTTGCAATAACAAAGCCAGTGTCCCTTTTGCCATCCCCATGCTATTGTTAGCGTGCTGTCCAGACCACTAACATACTGCCTGTATTAGTTCACCCACACTTGCAATCTGTGTGTCATACTGCACTGGCATTAATTCTCAACTGGTTGTTGAGAAAATCTGATGTTTTCCAGCTCTCCCACCTACGAAATAGCACCGACAGCATGTACGGACCTGCTAAAGGTGTGGCTACCTAGAAGTAGGTAAGGTTCAACAGAATTTGGAAGATGTATGATTCCATGTAGGGCTAAGTATCATAGTTATTTTGAGGCCTGTCATTTCACTTTGCTTGACATTTGGCTCTTTCTTTTGGAACCAAGTCTCCCGGTGAGAGCAAACATTTCTTGGCAGTAGGCTCATGACAGGAGTTTCATTACACACAAAGGCCAATGACCACATAGCATTTTTGGAAAATGTTGTCCAGGGCAATCCATCATGGAACAGTCTTTTGGATTATTTGTTTTGGCTGTCATCTTTCTACTACTACTACAAACACAAGAAGTACTTCACTTAGTCCCAGCTAAAAATAAATGCAGATTTAAAAAATCATTTACTTATTATACAGTGTTTTACAAATCAGACTGAGACATATTCCATGGCCTGAACTGTTTACGACAGGGTCATAACAGAGCACACATTTTAGTCTAGAAGCTCGACTGCCAGTTCTTGCTTAAATCAATCGCACTTCTGGAGCCCACGTTTCACTGAACTCTGCTGCGCGAGATTTACATCGCAGGCAGAAAAAATGTTGAATTAATTAAAGGCTGGAGAGCTACAGAAAACTGACATGCATGTGCCCCTGATTAGATAATCCAGCAACATTAAGACATCACCGGGACTCAAGGCCTTCAGTCAAGTACACAGCATAATATTTTAATGAACTTCTAAAGACTGTACTTGGGGAAAGAGGGAGATAACTTACAGGTGAACTATGACTACACGGGGAAATAAGTATGTGCATTATAGAGACATGTAAAGAGCTTATCAAGCGTTTAGTCTTTTCAAATACATTTAAATGAAAAGATGGTATGTAGATGAATAAAATTCAAGCTATACTGTTTCCTGATCGGCGTTCCCTGTATGAAAATCACCAAATGAGCCTGAGGAGAAGTTAAGGAGGAGTTTCAAGAACTGAAGCATGAAAACATTGATTGGAAGCATGAACATGGTTGCTTTGTGTTCCCATCCCAATGCAGATCCAGCAGTGGGTCTGTGGCAACAACAGCTGGGCAGAGCCTATGGAAAGGGAAGAATGGGGGGAAGCCACAAGAGGGAACAGGGCTTCTGGTGCGCAAAAGGGTAAGGCTCGGGGAGAGAGTGTGCCAAGCAAAACAGGCTGGCTCTGAGATCTGTTGCCAAAGCTCTGCCTGCATTGAATTGCCCTGCTTACCACAGTGGGCCAGATTTTACCAACTAGATTATTATAAACAGGCTTAATGGAGTCTGATTTAAAAATTGACCACCGCCAACAGATTCCCTGAATATAATGTACATTATGGAGAACCACTATTATTAAGACTACCTTAAAAGTCCACTATACAACCTCATTTTCTGTAGTAAACTGCTTTTTCAAATTTTAACCATTCAAACTGAAACTTTTCATGGAAGCCTCAATCCATATTTTCCTTTTCAATAACTTGGCTATTTCTAAGAAAGCTACTTTTGTCCCTGGCAAACAAATAAAGCAATGGCTTCTTCTCTGTGACCTCTGCTGTGTGGCAGAATCTGAAATTTTGGCAAAATAATGTTTTTTACATCAAGTCATCCCAGTAAAAGTAATGATTTGCCTAGATTGAGCAAGTTGACAGCAGGGGAAAGATCATGCTTAGCTGGCGCATGCTAAGCAGAGACTGGCACTGAAACTCAAATCCTTGCATGTTACATCTGTGCCAGGCCTGCTCCACCAAAAGGATGACAACCTATATTACAGCTTCTTTCCCCAACTCCAAGCAGCATCAGCCCTGCTAAAGATTTTAACAGATATTGATGTAATGCCACAAGAATTTCTTAACTCCCTTAGTTTTCATGTCTCTGTTGCCCGTGGAGTTAGGGAATGCAGAGCAAAGATGTCTAAGCTAGGAAACCACACTAGCTCAGAAATCAGTCAGATCAGTACAGTCCTGTGTCCAGTAGATGTTGTGTTCCTGTAGCCATCTGAAAATTAAACATCTAGTCCGAGATGCTCTATCCAAGTCAAATATGGCAAGTCACCAAGATTCCAGACATCATCAGTGGAGAGAAAGGCAAAAGGTGACCCCTTTCTTGCTATGATACATGCCTAAAACATAGGAGTTGTCACTCTCTGGAGATGTCTGTTTCTGCTCCTGACTACAGAGATATCTAGAAGAGTATCTTAAATGAGACTCCTAGCTTCTAGACAGCTGCATTTAGGTGAGATAAAGTCCATCCAAAATGTAAGACTTATTAGCTTGGGCATAGTGCCTAATTAATTGGCTGTACTTCTTTCCTGAGCTAATGCCAGTCAGGAATTACTGCAGGATGTGAAAAGTCTCTTGTTCTGGCCCAGTCAGGATGTTCATTTCCATGTTTAGATGATTTGAATGACAGTTGCACAGACAACTTAAAATTTAGCATTTTTTTAAATTCCTGTCTTCACAACCTTAATAACGTTCTTATATAATTGGGCTTTGTTGTGTCCCATGTCTTAAGTATGTCTTCCTAGCATCACTTTGTTTTATTCATTCACAGTGTGCAGAGCACAGGCATAATGTGACTCCTGGATAAAGCTATCACAGTTTGGGCTAGACTAAGGGCTGCCTTACTTAGGTACCTAATTTATGTCTCACTTTCAGGCAACTACTGAATCAGTACTCCTAAAGAAAGTAAGCACCTAACTGCCATGTTTAGCTGATGGAGAGGGAGTGCATGCCTTTGAAGTTGGAACAGATTTCCACCCAGAAGCCTTCTAAAGCTTTCCTGGCTGTACAAGGAACTTAAGTATTTACTTTAGCGGAACAGGGTCATGAAGTATCAAAAATTTAGATGCAAGCTGAATGTTCCTGTGAGGCTCAGTTGGAATCTCATAGGGGTCTTTTTGCTTTGTAATCTTATATGTGCTTTACCTAATGCATTGTGCCTAATGGCACCTAATGAATCTTTACAACTTCATTATGAGAGCGGTAGATCTTTGCTGTTCCCATTTTATAGACAGAGAAATTAAGGCAGAGACAAATGTAGTGAAAACAACTTCTGAATCTCACTTTGCTCATGGGGAAGACACCAGGGGGACAGCAGGTGCTGGCCCAGACTCACCTTCAAAAGCTTGGTTGATTACTCCAGTTGCTGCCTCTTTGTCTTCAAGGTAGTGGATGAAGGACAGTGAAGAGTGTCTTATCTCTTGCAGTTTGTCCTGAATGTAAGAGAAAGTAGGTCTGTTGTGAGGTTCTTGGGCCCAGCACTTTGTCATTAAATCACATCTGGAAAAAAAATTGTTAAAATGCAAACATTAAAGATAATAGAATCATTCATCTCAACACTTACCATTAAATCATCTGAGAAACAAGTTTGGCCTAGATTTTCAACTTCCGAAAACTTTATATGTGGTACAAAGATTATCATCAGCTGCTGAAGGAAGGAAAAGCAGGTTAAAGATCAGTTGTCAGGAATACTCACTATGAATGCTTTTAATTTTTCAAAGATGGATATTTTTGAGATTGGGAGCAGCTATAAAATTGAAAAAAAAAAAAAAAGAAGACACATTTGCCATTAATATCTGCTCTCACTGAAGAAGTCACCAATATTTTCTAAGAAAGCAGACAAGGAGGTAATTCTCTGACAGAATTTCTGGTCTAAAACCAGAAATGAACCTGAAGCTATCAGCCTATTTAATCCTCCTTCAACTCATGCTACCTCAAATTTAGGGGAAGTTCAAGGCAAACCCTCCAGCACAGAGAGGGTTAATTTAGACTTCTGCCTCCAGACCAAAACAAATAGGAGTAAGTTTTCCCATCAAAGGCAAAAATGGTATGATACTCCTCCGGGTACAGGAATCCTAGCCCGCCTTGCACAACACTATCTATACCATTCAGTGAAAAACTGTCCCTCCTGTTTGTCTAAAGGATAGGGCTGACTTATATTGCTTACTTGAGATGAGTCCAGGCTACACAAAACCAAATCCTATAAAAGCCATGGGGAGCCAGGCTGAAAACCAAAACGCAGCCAGCACCTGGATATGCTAACTGTTGGGAGTAGAGGGGGGGTCTTAGGGTCTCAAAACCGGAGAGCAGCGTTTGAGCAGCCAGTGAAAGGCCAGTTCAGGAGGCTGCTACTGGAATGTGGAGTATTCACCTCTAAGCCCTAAGTTCAATTATCCTCCCCTCACAAACAGCCTCCCAGACCTGCTGCTATGTGATACCAGGCGTTACTGAGTTATGTGAAATGAATTGGCTTGCTCAGATCCTCGCTTATCCATTTAAAAAGGACACTGCTGTCCTTCACTGCAATTGGGTATTTTACAAAACCCTTGGTGACTGGTGGGAGAAATCTCTTGACTTCTGATTTTTCAATGATATTTTTCATTAAGATATTGGGATTGGGTGAGAAACTTGAGTAGAAAAATTGTTTCAGAACCACTTTTCATTGGCCTGTATTGCGTGGTTGTGGAGCTGGACAGAGTGATTCTGTTTTTTCAAATGGATCCAATGAAATCTTGAAAATCCACTTTAAGAATCTAAAAAGTGGTGGTGACTTCCTAACGCTCTGAATCACTTCATCTGCTCGCTTACTTTCAGGTGTACTGGTTATTGATGACATTGGAAATATAGATGGAAAAGTACTGAATAGGACTCAAAAATGAGGTGAAATAACTCTGGTTTTCCTTCTGCTACCAGCAAAGTGTCTGTCACATTGAATTCGAAAGCCAGCTTTGGATGCTGGAAGCCAAACAATCTGCTTTCTGGTCATGCTGCTTGGTAGGATACCTAAGAAAAAAACCATGAGTTCAGGTGCTGTGCTCCACCAGGTTAGCGCCTTGTGCAAGGTGTAGCAATGAAGTAAAAGAGCTTATTGAGTACACTGCTCCTTTAACGGAAGGATCCATAGGCCAACAGAGGGAGAAAGAAACAGGAGATGATACTTAAGTCATAGAGTCACAGAATGGTTTGGGTTGGAACGGACCTTAAAAGATCATCTAGTTCAATGCCCTGCCATGGGCAGGGACACCTTCACTAGATCAGGTTGCTCAAAGCCCCATCCAACCCAACACTTCCAGAGACAGGGCATCCACAACTTCTCTGGGCAACCTGTTCCAGTGTCTCACCACCCTCATCGTAAAAAATTTCTTCCTTATATACAATCTAAATCTACCCACTTTTCATTTATGAAATAAGAACACGACAAATGTGGATTCTGAATATTTTTGTATTCCTACGACCAATCGCTGCCTTTCTAAATAACTAATTTTTTATTGGACAATCTGCTTTATAAAGCTGTTCAGTTTTGTTACTGAGTGGGGATATTAATTGCTGCCAAAACATTGAGAACTGGAATTTCCTTATTTTAATTAGATTCCATATTCTTATTTTCTAAATCAAATCACTCGCTAGTTGGCTTAAAATATTAATACCAGATAGAACTCGTATTAATATATTTCATTCAGACAGGCTTTACGTTTCTAAAGACAAAAGCTTCCATGTTGTCTCAGAATATATCTGCAAATTTTGCATGGACAGCTGTTTGTGGCATGATATTTAGCTTTCAAGGCATGTTGTGACATTCAAAGTTTTAAGTCACATGGCATAAACTTTCACTAGCCCAGAAACACATCAGCATGAGACCAGCCAAGAAGGTGAAAGCCAGGTTAATATGCCAAGATGTACACAAATGACAGCTTGAGCACATTCTTATATTTTCTTGGGAGCCAAACACGGGCTAGCAAATAGTACATTGCTTCAGTATGAAGAGACTCAGAGGATTCCCCCACTTCATGGGAAAAGCCTTCCAGGAAGAATGAAAAATAACAGATCCAAACACAACATCAAGTAAAGGTTTATGTTAGGTTTAAGAACTAGCCTGTACACCTAGATGTACACCTACACAGCTATACTTCACAACTGTGTTTTATCTCAGTGGGACAACTGGTAACCATATGTCCAACAGAGCTGCATACATGGGACAAATAAGAATTTGGGAGCCTGGAAAACCAAAGAATTAATATTCATTATCTAATATTGGAGGCTGAAAGCGAACAATTCCTGAAATGTGCTTTAGTGCACAGAAGCTACAGGACATTACTAATTTTCTCTCACACGAGATGGGAAATACAATTGATGTGGGGATTTTCTTAGAAAAGGAGAAAATTTGTTGGGATGAAGAAGAGCCCCTGCTTTCATCATCCCATGCATTCTGAGCAAGCCCTTCTTCTCTCCCCACCCTCCAAATCCTGCTGGGGGAAGTGGGGGAGCGTTCCCAGAACCAAATAGCAAAAGCTCTTAGTTACCAAACTAAAGTTTCTTCATCAAACTCAGTTGTGTAACTTTGCATGGGAGTGAGCATTTGGTGAAACCGCAGCTTCAAGGCAGCAAGTGGCACAACACTTGTACAAATTCTCCTGACTGCAATCCACAGGCTTTCAGGATCTATGTTAAATTAGCTCAGTTCAGTCCAAACTTTGGCATGTTTTTGCATGCAAGCCTCACACCCAGGTGGCTGTGCCAGATGTGGATCTCTCACTGCAGAAGTAGCGCCATTCATACATCTAATTTATATTTCAGTAAATGTGGCTCATTTATAGATCCCCAAGCCCCTTTTCCAATTCATTACTAAGATTTATCTATCCACACTTCTTTGGGGCAAAACAGATGATTATTCCCTGGAGTAACATTTTGTGGAGATGAGGGGGAGAATTTCTTCCCCCTACCAAAAAAAAAACCAGTCCCACTTCCTTAGTGCTTTTACACCCCAAGGTTTCTGTGTCCTACTTGCCCTTGCAATGTAAGCCTACCACAGATTCCTAAACACTTCTCAGCTGAAGTAGTTTGGCCTTTGAACTCTCTTCCTATCAGTGATGGTTTGTTTTGTTAAATGACAATGAGCAAACCAAAGTGCTGAGGAGACAATTACTGACTGCTGATGTCCTGATGCAGGTTCAAAACCACAAGAAGAAAAACACAAATGTCAATAATCCCAGCATGCCATTAATGACCTAGCAAAGTATCAAAAAGCTATTTATGCTACTGACAGAAGCTGCATGCAGGTGCTGAGTGTTCACCAAATGAAATAAAAGATGGTACAAGAGTCTAAGAGCCCATTCAGCTCTTGGCTTTCAAAAACTATGTTACTGCTATTAGGCCCTGATCCTACAGGTTACAACAGGCAGACCAGCCTTTAAGCCCTACCTGCTATGCTAAATTTGAGATCTGGGACCTTAAAAATGACTTCAAGCAAAGTTTCCTTGATTATTCTGAAGATCTGGTCACTCATTTTAAAGGCAACTTATGAGCCTTTGCGTGAGCTTGAATTTCAAACTAGTACATGTATGTACATTACCTCCTATGTTTTTTTATTCACAGGACAGCTGTCAGGAATTTTTTGAGGAAACCTTTTTCAGCAGAAAATATTGAAATTGAAATTGCTTTGGGCTCTCATTTCTTCTGTGACTTCCAGTTTTTGCTCTGTTCTTAAAACAAAATCCTAATCTCTTCAGTTCTTCGGTTCCTCCAAGTGCTAAAGCTTACTTTTTTTTTTTTTTTTTATTGCTAATATGGTATTTCAGCTATACCTACATAATGATAAATAATCACCCTCTCTGGAACTCAGAGCATGGTAATTGATGTGAGACCTACCACAGAGATCTGGAACTGCCAATCACAGAATTATTCTCAAGCCATTTCATCAGCCCCAGGAGTAAGAATTGCGCACTTTAAGTTGCCTCTCCTTCCATTTGTAGGACCAGCTGTCAAATACATTGCTGGGATTGCTTTGCTGGGTGAGTGATACAGGAATTGAGACATGCAATTAGACAATACTGAGTGATTGCTGGGTTCGGGTTCAACTTCCTCCCTTATATACCTCTGGCCAGTATGGTTTTGATCCACTATATGTATTCATTTTATTCTTTTACTTGCAAGAATTTTGCAATTAAACCTGAATTTTGTGCTCAAGTGGAAATTGGAAATTGAAAGCTTTGTTTATCCAGCTCAATTAAAGACTAACCAGAACTGCAGACTTCCCTTTCCCTGTAGTGCTTCAGCTTTTCTTACTGGCTTTTGTAGGAGTTACATCTGCAAAGAGAGCACGGTTTATCTTCCACATATGCTCTAATACTAGCCTAAATCCTGCAGCTACCAATGAGAAAGCCAGTTATATCTGCTATCGCAGGCACATGGTATACAGGGACCGGTAAATTCTTTCTTAAAGCCATCTTAACTTTTAACCAATACCATCAGGTACTCTCAGACTGTTATCACATTACTACCAGATTCATGCCCAAGACTGACTTTATATTATCTCTGAAATCCTGTTTAAAAGACCAGTATCCACCTTTCAACTTCAAGACTTAAGTTCTTACTCACAGGCTGCAGTACAGGATGATTAGCAGCGGGTTGGCAGCTACAAGTGCTAGCTGTTTTATCTGAGAAGCAGCATATAGGATGTTGAACTCTGCATGGGCATAAGTAGCATTTATAACGATGACCACCTGGCAATAAGCCTCTTGCTTCTTATAAATATTATCAACAATATTTAAACAAATTAACTTACAGGTCATCAGGACAATTGTTTGGAGATTCCAGTCTTCCTCCTGATCGTACATGGTGTAAAACTTCTGTATTGGAGAAAACTGGGTATGGCTGTTGACCCAAAGTTAATGTTTCCCATACTAAGACTCCAAAAGCCCTAAGACACACCAACAAAAAAATGTAATTACCATAGTGAACATGAACAATCTCCCTATCAACAGTTAAAATGTGTCTAACCTACAAATAAGACTCGGTTACAAAACTTAGGAGTAAGAAGTTTTAATTTTTTTGTGAAACAATTCATACATCCTTAAGCCAGCCTCTGGAATAGCTAAAATAAATGTGTAGAACTGACCCACTTTCTCAGACTCACTGAGATGCAGCAGAAGACACTGAGTGCCCATAGCTTCCCTGGGCACCACCCTCTGGTTAAGCATGTCCTCAGTTAAACAAGTGTTTAGAATCTCTAGAGGCGTCATTGGAAGTGGAGAGAAACAAGTTCTCCTAAGCACCACTAGCAAAGCAATCAGCACCCCATTTGGTTTGGCATGGAGCACTAAACGGCTTGCTTAGATAAATGTAAAAGTGTCAGTCAAATGGATGGGCTGCAGGGTCTGAGGACTTGGACAAGACTGGTGGGCTGTAGCCTACCGTGAGTACCCGTGGCTACCAAAATCTAAACTTGTGTGAATCTCAGGTTTAATGGATCTGGTTTGGGTTCGGTTTTCGCTGACAGTGGGTCTCTGCTTTTTCACCATAAATTCAAACCCGCCCAAAAACACACTTTAAGTAGATCTCCACAGCAAAGTACTATGACCTTCCCCTAATGATGCTGAGAAATTTGGGCTTCAAAATAAAGAAGTCACCAGAAGAGGGTGAAACAGTAAGGGGAAAGTATTTGGATGTAAGAAGGAAATGCCAATTAACCCGATGGAAAACAAAACGGAACAGGATGCAGGCAGTCAATTCACTGCCCAATCAAGCAAAAAGCACACTGTGGGGCTAGTACAAAATTGCTTGATTGAGTGACACTAGTTCTTTCCAGCCATAATCCAAAGCTAGAGCACAAAGCATTAAGAAATATATCCATGCAGGTACTGTCGTGGTGCCAAACTTTTCATTAGCTCATGAAAATATTGCTTAGGAAGAAATCTGCCATAGCCTAAAAATTCTTACAGATGGCAATAGACAACCTTATCACTGCTCCTGTAAACCAATATTTTCTTGCTGTGGGATTTAGTATGATTATTCCCACAGCTGTGTGGCTGCTATAACTCACCAGACATCAGAGCGATTTGTAAAGACACCATCAATGAGGCTTTCAGGAGCCATCCATCTGACAGGGAGTAGGCCTTCTCCTCTTTTCCTGTAATAATCATTTTTATAGATATCTCTGGCAAGTCCAAAATCACCAATCTTTACTACCCGGGAGGAGCTCTCATATTCCTTCTCAGACACAAGACAGTTGCGAGCAGCCAGGTCCCTGATTTGTAAAGCAGAAACAAGAGGATGGAGTTAGCATTGCAGAATAACTCAGGTCAGAATGGACCTCTGGAGGTCATCTGGTTCAATCCCCTTTTCAGAGTAGTGCCAACCTCAAGGTCGGATCAAGTGGCTTATGGCCTCATCCAGTTAAGTTTTGCATACCTTCAAGAGATGACACATACCTTCAAGAGCTCCTCTAGACAACCTGTTCCATTGATTGATCCTGGACAGTGTGAACAATATTATCTAATTTCCCTTGCTGCAATTTGTGCATTGATTCTCATCTTTTCCCTGTGCACCTAGAAAAGTCTGGCTTTGCGTCCTCTTTAGCTACCCATTAGGCAAATGAAGACAGTAAATGGATTTCCCCACTTGCCCTTCTCTTTGTTGCACTGGATATGATTCTTGCCTAGGGTACAAGGAGTCCTGGATTCAGATCTTAGAGTAGCCCACCATTTTGTGAGAGAACTGTAGGTGATATTTAGCAGAAAAACATAACATTAAATATTACTCCAGTGCTCTCACCCTCCCTGTTACATTGTGACATCATTCTAGGCATTTTTTCCCAGGAAAGATAATTAGTCCCGATATTGTGGGTAAACCTTGGAAGACTAAGGAAGTAAGTTCTGTACCTGTGTATAAAATGCATTTTCTCTAAATAGACACAGCCTTTGCAAATATCCAAACATATATCCAAAAGGTCAGTCACTGTCAGTAGGGGACTCTGGAGCTACAAGAAACAAAACCAGAAGTTAGCCATGTCTTCTAGCTTTACAAACTCAGAATGACAACCTCCCTATGCAAAGATGGTATTGTTTTCCTCATTTGAAATGTATAGGATTTTCCCAAAACATGCAAAGCACAGGTGCAAAATCTCTGTATGTCAATAGAGCAAATGCTAATTACCTGCAGGGTAAACTGCCAAATCACTGCACTGCAAGGCAGGTGAACACATCCTGTTCTTTGATTTGGGGCTAAGAATATCCTAGGACCTTCAGAATTGTTTCTTCACTACATCGGAAGAAATGGGACCCTAAAAATTCCTCCCACTATCAGATCAGGTTTACTTGCTGCTGTATTAATCAGTATAATACATTATTCTAGTAGAATACATGTATATACATTTCAGTAGAATTCAATACTGACTGTGGATTTGGTTTGATCATGTAAATGAACTAGAAAATTTCTATAATGCTCTAAAATTTCAGTGTTGAGTTCTTTTGACCTACAGTCCTACCATCCGTATTATTAATCTGCTTTCTAACTACAGAAAAAATTACTTAATTAAAGATGTTTATTTTTTCTTCTTTTCTCCTCTTTCCTTCTAAAAAATTTGATGATACAGGCACAGGGACAGTATCTTCTTATATGCCTGGACTATGCCTAGCACATTAAGGATACTGCTGTTATTCAAAGACAGCTCCCCCCATGAGGCCTAAAAGACCAGATACATGACTACCATTATTTATGATCACTTTTCAAAGGACTGTTCATGGTATTCATAGAGAGAAACTCAGCAGACATCTCACAACTGAAAACACAGTTTTGGTCAGTGGTTGACCAAAATGATTGAATGACATTCAATCTTCTTCACAGCAACTCTGAACGCAACTCAACATTGAGGTCCCAAGGTATTAGGGAAAAGCCAGGTCAGACTTGCAGGTACAGAAAGAGCTGGACATCAGCATGGCCTTTGAGGAAAGGAAAAAGTGAGAAATTGTAGGCAGTTACAGGTTAAAAATATGACTCTCATGGTCTTTACCCTACCTTTTGCTTTCTGGCTCCTCGTAAATAGCTAAGTAGATCCCCTCCTTCCATGAGCTCTAGTATAAGGTACTGAGGTTCATTTAACAGGCACACGCCAAGTAACTTCAGAATGTGGGGGTGATCAAATTTACTAAAGAGAAGGAAACAACTGTAAGATTACATATGAGAAATCCAGCTGGTTGATAGCTAATAAAGTGCACATAGCTGCAAGCAATGAATGAGCAGTTCGGCCTTCACAATCCTGCCTCTACCAACAACATGATTTAGTAACTCACAGAGCCTGGATTTGCTCAGTCATGGGGAGAGTTCAGGGACATCCTTTCAATACACAGGCTTACACTGTACTTTGATAGGCACTCTAATGCATGCATGCATATTAAAAGCACACTTCATCATATTTCCAGGAAGCAAAGAAAGGTAGCCAAATGGCAATCTCATCTAGGAATAACATGAATTGCCTGTATATTAAAGGTATCGATACTATTTTAATAGAGTATTTTTACTACCGTATTCACAGTAGAACTGCTGATTCAGAGAAATGCACAGAGAAAAGTAAAAGCATAAGGTGCAACATATTTTCACAATTCAGAGGAGAACTGTTTCTCACAGTACATTTTCAAGAGAAACAAAATATGCACGAGGAATACTTGCAGATGCGCTAGTAATTGCCTGTGTGTGTCCAAAAAGATAAGGATTACCACAGAGCAATCAGCACACTCAGATCTAGCACTTTTCAAAGAATGAAGAATATTTATTGCCTCTGTCAGTGCCCATGTTTTTACAATCACATTTCTTGTGTTAGAAAACACAAGAAATGTTTCGCACTGCTGTGTGAAAGGACTTGCACCATCAGTCAGAGAAACTTGACTCTATTGGGGAAACTGGTGGTGTCCAAACTGCTGTCAAATGCACCAGTGTAAACAAACAAATAAAACAGAGGGACATTTTCCTTCTAACCTCTTTCAATTCATATAATCTTAGGTGTGGGCAAACTCTAGCAAAAAGTGTGATTTTGAGTTTGACAGTTCCCCCCGGCCCCCAGCACATACCTCTCAATCAGATAAACTTTGGCACTCTCAAGAACAAAAAGGGGGGAAGGAGCACCTGGCACTTTCCTTACAGCTCACACAGTCCTGACTGAGTTGTCATTCCTTACTTCCCAAGTGATGTGATACACACAAGAATTTGCTACATATATTTGTACACAAATGGCTTACAAATAACCAATATCAAATGACTTTTTGAAATATAGGCAACTCAATTTTCGCACTGCTGCATACCAATAATAGAAGAAACAAATAGTCCTTGCTTAACTGGGACAGTATGCATAACACTACAATCCAAATTTTAATAAACATCCAAAAAGGCAAGCAAAATAAAAGTGGCAGTTAGATATCTAACATCAAGGTTTGTAAACAACCACATCCACTTATTTTTCTTTTCTGCCCTTGGTTTCATTTATGAGACCTTACGTAATCATCAAGAAAAATCATTAAGCCCTCCATGAGGGAACTAAATCATTCTTTTTTCACATTAAAAATATGAAAGATTTAAAGCATATAAAACATACCATTTTTTTTATTGTTGTTTAATGACTTCTGGAAATATATAATATTTAAACTTTTCTATTCTCTTTGTTTCATCGTATTGGTGTACATATGGGCCCACATCAGTGTTTACATTTAAATGTAATTATTTCCAATTATATATTTTTCCAGGATTTCTGGGTTTGGATTATTTGCCGCAAAAAGAAAGCAAAATTGGGGAAGCTTCAGAGACTTTAACTATGGGCACGTATAATTTCCATACTACACAGAAAAGAGACCTTACCTGGGTTTATGACTGCCAAGTAAGACTGAAGATGGATTGTAGGAAGTTTACACACAACACTTACTCTTTGTCATGAATTTACACTTTAATGACATGGTTCCATTTCGGTTTTCACCAGCCTCTTACCTCATTCAATGTACAGTGTGTGGAAAAAGTTAGGCAAAAAAAGCAAGATATTCTTTTAAAAATATTAAACACAAGAAAGAATGTTGTGAAAACTAATTTCAAATTTAATAACACTGTGTTTTCTGTACAGGATATAAAATCCTCCATTTTTCAAAAGAGGCTTCTAATTCTGCACTCGTGAAATGAAAGTCAGAGAAGTGCAGAAGTGCATCTGAAAACTAAACCACACTCTCAGTCTTATATTACCAGCTCAAAACTTCAGCTGAACTTCAACTTGTTTCTGAGGAGACTCTGGAAAACCAGATTTCTAGCTGACATACAGACCTTTCTGTGTGAAATTCTTGCACTGGTGACATGCATTGGTTTTTTAAGTCTACCTCAATAGAAGAGGTATGTGGCAGCCTCTAGTGGTAAGTATGCACAGCTTTAAAAAACAATTTCCACAGTAAACTGAAACTTCAAGACATCAGCTTGTTTTGATATGTTTATTTTGGTGAAATGGGATTAGCCAAATGTTGCCCAATTGCCTTCAACAACTAACTTAGTTTTAGGGGAGCAAAGATACTGAAATACATTAGTCCAAAGACCAATAAATCCATTATATGAGCATACTGAACTTGCAGTCTGTATCTTAAATTTTGCTAATCAGTTTTATAGCTTTATTTTCATAAGATTCATCAGTAGTGATTTAATTTTTTAGCAGAAACAGGAGAACACCCCAAAAATGCCACAGTAATTTGTTGCTTTCATTCCTCTTGAAGGCCACCACCCTCACATGATACTGGCTTCGAAGGGTGCCCAGTGGCAAAGCTGTCCCTACCTCATTAAGTATGCCTCCTTCAAGAATTCACTCTTCTCGTGGTCTGTCGCACCTTTCTTCAAAGTCTACTCAACAGAAAGCAAAAGTGTAATAACACTTAGGTCACCACCACCATTATCACGTAGCGCTTAAGTAAAGCAATCAGACATAGGCATGGCCTTAAATACACATTATATTCCAGCAATCATTACAAGGAGATAGACTTACCTTTAAGTGACTTGCAAGAAATACTGCAAGGAAATACCCATATCTGTCAACAGCTGTTTCTGTGGTATAACCTCTGAGCCAAATGACTCTGCCCATCCCATTCTGTTGCCAGAGAAATACACAGCTGCGATTACCTTGACTGCTACTTTGGATTCTCCACTTCCATCTGCCAGGATATCTACTGCAGTCCCTTCATACACCTCTCCAAATGCTCCACTTCCTAACAATTTGTGAAGGTTCAGTTTATCCCGAGGGAAAGCTGGCAATGATTCAATCTCTGCTTGAGAAGGAAGAGTGCTACAAAACAGCAATATTAGTCACTTCTTAATACTTAAGAATGTTTGAAATGTTACTAAAATTCTTCCTCAAAAGAATCTGGTACTATTTGTCTCATCAGGTTCATTTAAAGGGAGATCAGGTGAAGCCTGGATGTTTTGGAAGCTATTGGAAAACACCAGGTCGTCATCTTTCCCCGTGCACTTGTATTTCTTGCCACTGTGAGTGTGCAGGGTGGGCTAGGGGCAATCCACGCCAGGATGCACACCAGAGAGCCAACACCGCAGGGCGTACTTCAGAGCAGGCCTGCCCTGCAGTGCAGATGCAGCCCTTAACTCCACCTTGAGGTGTCAGGGATGAGTGCACTGATGAAAACCAGTCCAGGGAAGCCCCCTTACATGTTTTTGTCCTGAAAACACATTTGCTCCAAGGACATACCTTACAGCATAACAGGCATTGGCTAGTCCCACTGTCTCAGCCATCCCCCTGAGTTGAGCTAATTCTTTATCTTCCTTGATAAACACTATCTGTCCAGGCAAGGCCTGTTTTCTGGATTTCCATCTTTGGTGCCATACTGGAACAGAAAAGCAGACTGTCAGATATTTCACTCTGAGAGCATCCCAGCATGCGAACAGGCTGAAAAGCTGCACGTTTTTTGTTATTCTGTTCAACATGACCCCCCAGCAGCTCATGTAAGCAAGACATTTCCATTTGGCCACCATCTTTTTCCCACAAAACACAGACAACTGCTCCTTGAGCTGAGGAAACCGTCAAGCATCCTCTTTTGCATGTGGCAAGACCCAAGCCCAAAGGGCTGCTGCTATATCCCAGGGAGAGGATGAGGAGTGAGAGGGCAGGACCATCACATGTGGACATCTACATGTCAGGGTAATCTCTACATCCTTTCTTCAGGGACAAAGCTTAAGAGGAAAAAAAGAGGACCCTGTGGTGAATAAATGCAGTACCCAACTTGAGAATTATAAGGTACAAGTTTTTATAAGGATACACAGGAACATCAGAGTTCCTTCAGCATTCCTGTGCTCTTCCTGCAGGGAATCAAGAGCAAGAAATGCCTGAGGATGGAGTGAATTGGTATCCTGTCCTTGATACTGAAAATATAAACAGCCATCTGTAGGGCCTCAAAGGATGAGAATATACAAATTACACCCTGGGGATTGTTCAGCATTTCCCTAAACCTGGAGGCCGATCATCTCCTGCCATCTGAACTGCCTTTTACTGAGGCCTGGTGAACCAAGGATATGCAAAAAACTCAGCCACATACCAAAACCAAATAGCATGACCACAGTCAAGCCCAGCACAACAACTCCGATCACAGCAGCAATGACAATGATGGTGTCTGGGGAGATCATAGTATCTGTTAAATAGAAGGGGAAAATTGGTTAATGGCTCTGTATACAAACCATTTCAATCCTATGGAGCTGAGCAAACCTGAGAGAACCCTTGAACTGCCTGCTGTGTAAATGTCTTCCTCTGCAAAAAAGTCTCTTGTAGGCTGTATATAGATGTCTACATTTGGTCAGACTAATCCTCCTCCCCCAGCTCTGGGCCTTTTCTGTGGTGATGACCTACTGTGTATACGGAAAGACAAAAAGCTGAACCGTTTGAGCACTCAAGGTGGGATTTTCAAAAACACTCACAGAGTGTAGGTCTAGCGATCTGGCTGAAGGCAAGAAGTAATCCTCACATCCTTACCCAGTGTGGGAGCTTGCCTTTATTTCAAGAATCATACCATAATGCAGAGTGCAGGGCCACAGAGACAAACCAGTAGAAATGAGCAAAAGCAAATTTCAGGCCTGCTGTTCCGTGCAAAAGAGCCTGGATGAGCACGAGCAGCTGGGGTCACCATATAAATGGTAACATTTATTACCTCCTAGACACATTACTTTACCTGTGCAGCAACATCATTATTAAAACAGCAGGTCTTTCTTCATAAATTGGTACGATTATTCGGAATAAAAAACTTGATTAACAGAGTAAGAAAGTACAGGACATACCTTCACCCAAAATTATATCCTTGCTTGTGTCACTGTATTCACCAAGTCCCAGCACATTTGCAGCTGCTGCTCTGAACTGGAAAGTTCCTTCTACGTTCTTGGCCTTCCATGTGCAAATACTGGCACAGGAGCCATTGTAAACCACCTCCCACAAGGACTTCACTTTGCTGGTGTTGTCAGACTGCTTCCTGCAACAGGCACAGCAAAATAACACAGGTATGTCATTAACACTGTGAGGGCTGTTTACTGTTTCCCCGCTCTGTTCTTTGCTTCAGTTTCCTGCAGGAAAGCTCAATCTGGTCGTGGGGTTTTGGCTATGGAGCAGAAAATTGTACCATGCCATTTCAGCAATGCTAGGAATCACACATCTTTCCACATCTTGGCATTGGAAATGAAATGCTAGAATGTTTTAGACATAAAAAGCTCCAGCACTCTCTCACCTGTTTCAGTGTACACCTCACAGCCAAGATTTCAAGACCTTCTTATTTAGCTTTCAGAAAAAAATAAACATTTATTTTTGTGTCCTGTTAGAGGTTTTTGCTTTCCTGGGCCCAGAGCAATTCAGTGGCTCTTGTGCATCAGGTTTCACAAGCTAAACAGGAAGCAAGTCATTGGCAGTGAAGACACAATTCTTTAGCTAGCCAGTTTCCCATAGTATCTGCTGACTGCTGGGTATATTTCTTCCTTTCCCTATCGGACTGAGATTGATTGCTCACAATAAATTCAGAGCTGATTATTCACCAACCAAAAGAAGACCATGTATTTACACTTGAAAGGCCATATCTGAAATATCACAGAATCATAGAATCATTAAGGTTGGAAAAGACCTCCAAGATCATCGACTATCATTTCATGTCACACAGGACTGTAATATTTCATGTGAAATGACCTTCATGAGCATGTCAATCATTCTCCCAACACACTTTAATGCAGAAAAAACGTCAAACACTTCTAAACCAGAAAGACATGTTCCTGTCCTTGGTGTGTAGACATGCCTACCAGAGCTGTATGAAAAACAGGAGTTATTTCAAAGGGCTATGCAAATATTTTGTAGAATACTATGCAACTAACTTAACATTTTTCTACCTGGTGTAAAAGGACCATGAGGCTCAAAGCGAAATTCAGTCAAAAACATCAGCATTCAAACTGCAGGAGAAAAGCTTATTTCATTAAGCTTAAAAAAAAACCCCACCTCAGTGATGCATTATGATTCCAGAGATTAATAAGAAGCTGGAGCCTGGAAAACACGGTGGTTAAAGCACAACCCTGACACAGACCAAGGGACTGTCCTTTCTTTACCCATCCACAGCAAGCCAGGTACAAACTGGCTGTTGGCATATCAAAATTATTGTGGTCTCATAGCATGCAGGTCAGTGCTGCTGTACACTCACAGAACTGTATGGAGGAAGCTTACAGCACCAGGAAAATATGTCTGGGTGAAAACTTATATAGGTGAAGTATGCCTGGCTCCACAGCGCTGTCAGTCCTTAGCTTACATAAGCACAGAGTTAACTGAGGAAAAAGAAATAATAGCTGAGTTTAAAAAATTGCTTCCTTCCATCGCTCCTGATTTCATACAATGTGATAGGAATATCTCAGAAGATGGACCCTCCTCAGTTTTAAATAATGTGTTCATTAAGCCTTGCACTTACTGCCTCAAACAGAGACCTCCAGTGTAATGGTCAAAAAATGAAAAGTTTCAAAGTCACTGCCCACAGCAATATACTCTAACCTGTCCATTCAGCCCTTCCAATGCCAGTGCAGGAATGAGTGTGAATTGGCACTCCACAGATGCCTAATGAGTGTGACATGTATAGTCCAGGCAATCTGTATTTGATGACAGAGCACTTTAAAAATTATCTAGTCATCCTTTGTTGGTGGGAATACCTTATGATTCTTTCTGGCAACTTTATAATGCCTGTCCGTGATTCCTCTGAACACTAAGATATTTCTACATGTATTTTAGCCAAAAATACATACTAAAAGCTTGAAATTTGTGATTTGAAAATATCTACACATCTTCTTCTAATTCACCAACGTATATCCAAATATATCCCTGTATTTCAGGGTTGGTCTGGAAATGTTGTTAGTGTATATTTTCTTCTAAGTTTTCCAGGAATTTCTGGAAATGGTGGCTACTTAGTTTACCCGAGAAAAAGATCCCATGAGAAGGGCCATTTGAGTCATTGATACTTCACTCTTCCTATCAGAGCAAAACTGAAAGCCCCTTGCTTGGCCGCAGATACGTTTGTCCAGATAGGTGTGTTGACTAAAACCTGATTTTTGCTTTCTCCTTTCTTGTTATCTCATCCATTTTGCATGGTGCTAGTAGTACTTTGGTGCCTTCCCACATTTCACTACACCTAGAACGGCAGGCAAGCTTTCCCACGATTCAGATACAGCAGCATACTGGAATACAACAAAATGCAGGCCAGGCCTGCAGAAATCCTAACAGTGCAGCCTTAGGGACATAGCACAGAGTCTGGTGTAGGGCTCTGTGCTGTGGCTGCGTACACCTGGCTTAGGCTGATGTTCTCAGACACTTGTGCCTGTCAGACAACCTTAGCTGTGAGCAGCTGCTTCCTAATATCTTCCACACACAGAGATTTGTTCTGGGCTGCTCCCTACCAGAAGAGTGCCTGCACACGTAGCTTACCTGCTTTCTAAGATGTAGTAGGTCAGGTTGCTTCCATTGTCATCAGCCTTTTCCCACTGTACAGAGTTTTTAGCATCTTCTGCTCTTTTTGGAACTCCTGGCTTACCGGGAACACCAGCTTTGGCCACACAGGGGGAAGAAACAGAACCCTTAAAATGTGTTTATAGAGAGACAAGGGGCTAATAGGCAAAAAGCAAAATTTAGACGTACACATGGGTGTTTAGACATACAAAAAGACTGAGGATCTAGATCAATAATCCCCAGGGATAATTAATCTTTGGCCTTCTCTTTGTGATGGACAAATTTCAAAATTTTCATTCACATATAGCCTTTCAACAGTACTTAGTAAGTTCACATGAGGCATTTCATTTCAGTTTCCCTCATTCTTTTCCTCTGTTCTACTTGGAAGTGAACATCATTTCTTTCCTCCTATTACTTTTGCAGATATGGTGCTGTGTTATTTACTTTTCAAACACACACAACTATTGGCTCTTCGTATAAGAAAATGGCCTGCTAAATTTTACGAAATATTTTGTTTGTTTATCCACGTCCTTAAAACAGTGTTAAAATCCTACACTAAGTACTTACCTGTAGTTTTAAAGCTTGTTGAAGAGGAAGTGCTTTTCACTCCTGTAATATAAACTACTGTTACTCTTACAAAATAGTTGGTTGAAGGAAGAGTTCCTGTGAGATTGCATGTGTAAACAAGATCTGCTCTGCACGTAGTGCTTGCAGGAGAAAACCAGTCAGTTTCTGTTTGCCACTAGAAAAATAAAATATCATCGTGGTCAACTTTCTTGCTCTGATGAAAATGTGTCACAGTTCTATTCCTGGGTAGATTAACTAGTTTGCCACCTTTTAACATCATAGGGGAAAGATTATGCACATGCTGTTTCAATCACGGGACTTTGTCCTCTTAGAGACCAAGGACACAAAACCTAGGCTTTTTCTTTGTTTTCAGGAGACCTACAAGTCTTGGCAGCCACAAAGGACAACAGATTAAGTGACCCCTTTGCACAGCCAAAAGGAGCCGTTCCCTTGCTTACCTCTGTGCAGCTTGTATTTCTGGATGACCGTGATGTGCCCATGAGTTCAGCTTGCCATGATGCAATTGAAAGGAGGTGGTTTAATGGAATTGTGCTATGACATTTGTTTTAGGGCAGATAGGAAATCATTGCTGTAGGCCTAATAAATCCGATTATCTATATTAAGGAATCTACCTGATCCAGTTTAGCACATGACATTTTCTGTGTCCATTGGTCCAGACATTAAAACCTGAAGCTTACTTACATCCATATCACTGCAGCGCTTACTTCTATAGTCTGCACTACTGGACCCATTTTTCTCTCCGGCATTTTCTCGTAACCTCTATCACAGGAAAATAAAATTCAGATGCTAGGTTGTAGCTGATATTTAATACTGGAAACCCCTTTCTTTTCTTTCTTGTGCAGAGCAGATATAGGATTTGTAGCTACCAGCCAGGTTGGGGAAGGACAGTGAGGAAAGAGGGAGGGGACTCTACTGAAACAGGAGACCCTAGAGGAATTCTCGTGGGGTCATCCAGGATGTCCTTTGGCACTGTGGAGTATTAAGGCTGCAGCTGCACTCCCCCTTGTTCCTGGCAAACAGTGCCTCCATCCTGCCACTTCTGAGCCACTAAGACTGATGTCACCATGCCCAAATTAACCACTGAGACTCTTCATATGCATCCTGCCACCCTATCCTGCTCATCAGGACAGAGTGCATTAAATTTGCTCTGATCTGGAAAAAACCTAAGGGGTATTTTTACCTTACGCAGCTCAAACCAGAAGCTGGTTTCATTGACGTGCAGAGGAGCTCTCCATTCTAGCTGGAAACTGGTATTTCTGGGAACTATGTTGACAGGTGCAGGTGGAGTCTCAAAAGTTTTTGCAATAACAGGGACACTTTCGGAAAACCAGTTCTCATCAGGATGAAAAGCAAGAACCTAGTAAGGAAATGGATGAACTGGACAGTACCAGACCAGTTGGAAAGGTGGCTTTAGCAACGCCAAGTGTTTGGAAGACTAGCTGTTTTCAAACAAGACAATATTCAGGCAATATAGATATAGGTGTATAAAGATTTTGAGCCTCACAGCTGCAGCTTACGCATCTTCAGGCTGGAAGTTCATGGCCTTCCTCACTCTTCTTAGTTTTTCGTTTCATCTTTCTACCAAGACTCATCTCTTTCTAGACCTTTCTGAAATGCCACAAGCTCTTACACAGGCATGCAGACATCACATCACACTCTGGGTAGTGTTTTAGAATCACAAAAACACAAGGTGAGGAGGTACCTTAGCACACTGCCTTCCACTAAGTCACAATCAAATATGACCTATGTTTGGGTATGCATACTTACATTCGTACATATAGGTATATAGGTATATGTGTATATATGTATTCCCCATTATACCATCCAAATCATTAACAAAAGCACAAAATCAAATTAAGGCCAGAACAGATTGCCCTCCAGCCATCAGCTGAATGTTCTCCCAGCCCATGCATGAACTGTGAAAACCACTTTCTTACTGTATTTGTGATGCACCCAGTGTGCATTCTGCAGACAATATGTTTACTTGGTTGCTTTTGAAAATGTCACTCTGGTGATAGACCTGCTGTCTAGATACATCATTTATTGTTTTCCTTTTAACCCTTCATCTCTAAAGGGAGAAGCAGTATGTTTTGTTCTTACGAATCCACATTGGACATTTTTATTCCTCTGTTATCCTCTAGATGCTTGTATACCAACTGTTTAGCATTTCGTCATAATATAGTCCTAATAATATCTATATATGTCTTAATATAGTCCTAGTAAAACTATGTATGTCCTTAAAATAACTTCAGGTACTGAAGTTACACAAAGTGGTCTATAATTTCCTTTTTGAAGCTAAGTGTGACTTTTGTTTTTTGCTAGTTCTATGGGACTTCCTCTCTTGCAAAAGTTACAGAAAATAATCGTGAACATTCACAGACTGTTTTTAACTATCTCCTGATGTAACTTAAGGTCATCAGACGCTGCTGACTTAAATACATATAACCTACATAAATATTCTTTAACCCGATCTTTCCTTCTGATCTGTTGTGCTACTGTTGGCTTCATGCAGTTGTGTTAAATATCTAGTCACAGGTCTCCTGTTCCTAAAAATGAAACAAAAAAAAAGCACTAGAATCTGCAACCTATTCTTCCTTTTGTCTTCCTCTTCAGCATGCTAACAGAGCCTTCCCAACTGCCTTTTTAGTCCTTGCTACTTTGAACTCCTTTGGTTCCTCCACCTTCTTGATTGTATCTCCAGGTTAAGTTATCCTTTTCTGCTCATTCTTACAGCAATGACACATGTGCTCAGGCATGTAATACTGCCATTACTTCAGGATGGTGCTCTCCTTGCCCTGGCTGTCCGAAGGTGGCAGGAGGGCTGAGGTGTCTGCCCCTTAATTCTCACAGTTCATAGCCCAGCATAACTACGCAAGCCACCAAAGTTTCTGTGTGATGCTGACGTGGGAGTCCATGTGAACTGCAGCAGCTGATGGATGGATATCCCATTCTGCTGCTTCTGCTAGCTAGCCTGGGGCTTATTATTATATTTCCTATCTTCCTCTGTCTATGACTTGCCTGGACAGTGAAATAAACTACTTCTTCTATTGCACTGACAGCACCATATTTCAATGAAATCCAAAATCAGGGGGTTTGCAACCACCCTTCAATATTCTTGTCTACAGAAATTGTCTTCAAAGGCCACCAAATAGCCAAGCCCCTACTTGCATTTTTAAGTCATTATTAGTCCTCTGCATATGTTAAAGGGTTAACATTGATATACTGTTCTTGTTGTGAACTTTGCATATATATTTTATAATATACTTTTATTTTAAATGTGACTGCTGCAATCAGTCTAGATTCAGTGAATCAGAATCAATCACTAGAATCAGTGAACTATTAATTCAGTCATCACCTATATCTCTATGAATATATCAGACACTTTTAAGTTTATTGGAGTAAGATTTTTTTTTTTTTCCTAAATGAAAAGTTATTTATTAAAGGAAAAGCAGCAATTGGCAAAATGGCTGAGTCTGCTCTTGATATAATATATAGATGTTTCCCCTTTATGAATGTTTCAGATATGTTGCTTTCCTGAGAAAAGCCTTTATCTTTTGGCCATGACCCATTTGCACTTACATAGCCCTGTTTATTGCACTACACCTGGTTCTTCACAAGCAGGTCACAGTTCCAGGCATCCTCCTTTGGGAACAGAGGTTACCCGTCGCTTGACTCTCTCTTAGCATGTTGCATGAAGTGTCAGGGCAGTAACTGCAGGATTGGCAGAAACTCCTATTTACTCTTGAGATCTGTGATGTGTTCCCCAAATAGAAAAGATCTCAGTTCTAAGGATTTAATCTGAACAACCTATGTAGGAATAAACGGTGATGTTTAATTTTCGTTAAAACTAAAAGACTGAGAGAAGTCTGCCAAGTTTTGAACTCATATTTTCAAAACACACATATAGGTTTTCAGAAGAGCAGTCTAAAGATTTGCAAGTTAGTGAACAAACAGGTAAAGCTGCTTGTAATTATACCTTGAATAAATTGTTTGTTCTGGATTGGAGCCCACTGACAGACCAGGCAAGGGTCCCATTTGGAAATTCACTTTTTTGCAAGGGTGTCGCTGGGACAGGAGGTAATAAATTGACAGAGATTTGATAGCGGATGGATTCTAGAGGTCCATTTGGCTTCAAAGGTTCACTCCAAGATATGTTGATAGTGGTGTCAGACAAAACCACCGTCTTAATGGAATCAACTGCCTCTGGTACTGAAACAGAAAGAAAAATTAATCTCCTTTTAGGTACAGATCTCACTAGAGGTTTTTTTGTTGGTTTGCTTTATTTTTAGAGAAGTCAAGAAATGTCACTGAGGAAAGAAAAAAGTTTATAAGCATATGAATATGATCCATTTACAGGACTGACTCTCTAGATGTGTAAAACTCATGTTCTTGTATAGTCAGTCAGCTGCAGACAAGTTCAAAATATTTTGAGGGACTTTTTTAGTATCTCCTTGGCTATCCTACCATGCAAGCAGACAAACAAAAACCCAGATGCTGTCCTACACCTCTACATTTATAGTCATATCACTGAATTCCTGCTCTCTCCTAGTTTCCTAATTGGGGTCTCAGGTGTGAGTTTAGTATGATGCTTACTTGGATATGCACTAGAAAAAGTACCCATGCACTATTCCAGTTGGAAAGTCTTTTCTTGAACAGAAAAGTATGAAAGCTCAGCATTGTTGGCCATCATTTACAATTTTGCTCAGAAACACATGGTCTGGCTGAACTGTGTAAGCCAGAAACTGGGTTGCTGGTCTGATGTCCATGCCAGCTGATGTCCATGCCGCACTCACTAATTGTTTTGGAAAAATCAACCCTTCCTTTGAAGCTCTGAGATCACAGACTTTGAAATGGTATATGACACGCCCCAACTCTGCATTAAAAATTCTTTTTTCCTATTGAACTGTCCAGATAGGTGAAAAGTTAACAAGTCATTATGCTATCTATATTCCCAACATATCAGAATGATGAGTACGTATGTTATAATTTATGCCCTAGTAGCAAGGATGCAGGTTATTTAAAGGGTCAACATGAAATGTGCAGAAGCTAGACTAGTAAAGAAGACAAATTTCTCATTTCACTAGCTAAAACATATGTGGAGTAAGAGTGACACTCTGTGGCAAGAGCAATACATTAATTTTTCCAAGTTGTTTTCCTTTTTTTTCATTTCCTCTATCTTGCTATTTGTTGGAAAGTACAGATTAGTCCAAGCTTCTTTCCTTTTGTTACAGAATTGAGGGAAAGACAGAGGAAATTCACACTGCTTCAAAGGTGTGAAATAGCGTACACATTTCAAGAGGCTCTAGCAGCATCTGATTACAATTTAAACTAGCAGTTACATTCATGAAATTGAGACCATAAATAAGTACATTCTGTTTACAGCTGGTTGGAAATTTTTCAACAAATTGTGAAAAGCTCTGAATGCTGCTACAAATACGTGTTAAAAATGCTCAGGGTTTGGGGGCTGGTGTGGTTTTTTGTGGTTTTTTGATTTTTTTTTTTTTTGGTCTAGGACTTTATTTTGATCCTGACGTTTTGTTTTACCACAACTAGAGAAGCCCATCTGAGTTTCATGTTTCATTTTAACTTGAGACTGAAAAATTCCATTTCAGTGGAGCAACTCAGTCTCCCATTTCATATGCTACCTTTATGCTTTGCCACTGAAATTTTACCACACAAAGAAGCAACAGTGTGAATTCTTGCCACATCCTAATAGTATTCAATTTTATTCAATCAGTGTCTCATACAAATTTTACAATACAGATGTGGATTCCCATGCAAAGAATTGAAATCTACTGATCATAGGCTAGGTTTCTTATTTTTTGCCATAGACTCCTTAGGAATATGCTAATAATATTCAGAGATCCACATAGAATGAGAGCCTATTTGCTTGATGCTGCAGATGCTGAGAGATCTCACTGTTAAGAGACAAAAAAAATAGCATGGTTGGAAGAGTACTTCCAAAGTATAGCATCTCTGGATCCCGAAAGAAGAGTGGCAGTGTGTCTGCACCTCTTGTTCCACTTTCACTTGAAAGATGAAAAGAGATTCATCTTAAACAGAGGTTTTCTTAAGAGGAAAAACGTGGCTGCTCCCAGGACAAGAAACAAGGAATGATCTGCGCGTAAGAGGAGCCACTGGCAGCTCACAGGTGATGCTCTCCTGTGGACAATGGTGGCAAAAAGAGAGGTTACTTTTTCTATGGAAGAGCATTTAAAGAAACCACAGAGTGCATCCCCAAGAGCAGAGAAGACGAAAGGGAATCAGGACCCCTGGCATGTACTTGTTGCCAGCTGGATAAAATATTTCCTTGGGCACAGTTGATCAATAAAGGGAAAAAACAAAGTGGTGGCTGGGCTTATTTAAATTCCAGTTGCTTCAGCACCTTCTGAAGCAGCCAGAAGCCAAGCAGAGGTAAAGAGAGAGAAGGGGAAACCTTGGGATTCCTGTTGTGCTGTGGACAGCCCTAGATGCATATCATAGTAATACCCCATACCTGTGCAACGTGCACAGCTGTATCTCAGCTACAGCCAGCCCTGCTGTAGCTAGGTTAAGTGAGCTAATGCCCAAGCATCAGGTGCTACTGTGCCTCTCAATTTCACTCCCTCACCTTCTCTCAGAGACAAATTGCTCCAACTCTGCAGGACAACTGCCAGGCAGGAAAACTAGTGAAGGTGCGGGCTATAGCATTCCCACATCACTGTGAGTTCAACAGCAAGCATCCCTAGGTACCACCTCCCCAGTTTTTCCTGCAAAACACAAACAGGCTGCTGTGTCGGTTTGGCTGTAATGCCTTGCTGACTTGGGTATTATCAGAGGTGCCTGATGGCTCCGCAAGTGATGAGTTTATGTGGATCAAGCTGACCCTGGCTGGTGACACCAGGCATGATAAATGGAGCACAGCTGCAGAGCAAATCTGACACAACAGAAAAGCAAGCAAGTGCTATGCATACTACGGGGAACAGCTAGCACGCTTTATCGTTTTCCATGTTTTCACCAAGTGAGTCCAGCAGCATCACTCTAATGTTGAGAAAACTATCTGAAAAGCAGTGCAAAAGCAACTCCTCATGAAGACAGGTAAAAGTGTGCATGTGCACACATACACACACAAAACAAGAAAAAGTGCCGAGCAAGGTACCTCTATTGGGTTGGGTTGCAATGCAAGAGAACACATGCAAAGGGATAGCGTGCATCTTCGGATGATCCTTTTCTTTCTGGGAGATGACAAGAGCTTTAGGGAAACTGGGACAGCAGCTGCCCCACAGCTGCAAACAGGGTGAAGCAGGGAATGAGAAGGAGCATCTTCCTGCCCCAGTTAAGGTGTTTCCAACCACAGGAGGCATCTAGCTCCAGACTAGTAGTATTCTCAAAGAATAAGGACATCTTGAACTCGGGCTGCCTATGAATCTCAGTTGCCTTTGTGGCATTTGAGGAAAGCTTCTGGGCCATGTTGGCTTCAAGGACAGATGAGAGACATGCTGGTACTCACAGTACCAGGACCTGGGCCTGCATTAAAGTGCAGCAGAGAGTTGAGTTTCCTCGCTATGACATGCCCCAAGTTTCATCAAGTATGACAAGATGAGCAGTCAGTAGTTTTGGACTCAGAGGCCTGAACCCACAAACAAAAACAGCATTGCTGGTTTCTATTTAGTTAGGGAACTAAGGCAGAACCAGATCTATGTTCTGCAATGGAAACTCCACAACAGGGTGGAGAGGATAACTATGAAGGTAAAGGGTGGAGGATGAATGCAAGAGAAGACACAGTAGGAAATATACCAGTGATCAGGCAAAACTGTAGCTTGCTATGATCAGCTGGATAATCAATGTGTGCTGAGTGGAGTTATAGATCCCTCATAATGTCACACAGGCTACACATCCACAGCAGAACTGTTACAGAAGTCCCCCATTTCTTGTTCTGGAAAATGTGCCCTAAATAAAACAAGTGTGTTTAAGATGACTGAGTTCTCCAAGAGAGCACTGAAGAGATGGACAGTCCTTTGGAGTGTAACAGAAAGGGAAATTTGCAAAATCACACACCCAAAGCAGGAAGTGGAGGAGGTGTTAACCTAGACACATTTCTTGAGGTACATCATCAGGTAATATAGCACACATATGTATTATGTGAGGTGAAAACTGGCTTTATAAACTAGGTAGCTAGAAGAACAGGCCCAGCTCTCAAATAATAAAGAACCAGCTTGAATAACAAGATATATAGAATTTAGATGCTCTTGATCATGCTTTCTTTTCTCTTTTCTTTCGTTTCTCATTCTTTTTTTCAAAAACAACTTTGTACTCAAAAGAAAACCTTTAAAATAAAATACACCTTTCAGTTGCAGTGCATCTTGTCTCTTACGGACAGCACTATGTGCAGGTTTTCCCCAAATGTAGCCTTGGCTTGTCACTTTGTGAATGTTTCCAGAAAGTGAGCTGTGCTCCTGTTACCCTTTTCTAGGCTGCAGCTACCTGCTCCCTTAGACGCTGCTACAAGCTCTTGTCCTTGTCCTCTTCCATTGCATCAGCAGGTCACACCTCATCACAGAGTACAGAGGTAGCTCCGCTTAAATACAATTACATTTGGCTGCCTTGCCATCATGTCTTGGCCTCTTGCCTTCACTCATACTTCTCTCACCCATTCACTCCCACTGAAGTTTCTTAGCTTCCTTCTGCCATAATTAGATAAGTTTACTGATGTATTTATTTATTTCTAGGTAATCCCTAACCAGTCCACTCTCTGCCCAGTGAACATTCAAGTTCAAAGCATTACCCCTAGCTTGCTTCTTCTAGTGTGAAAGGGACTGAGAAGGGCACATCAAAATTCTTGAAACCAACTGAAAATGTGCTATTGGCATTCAGGCCAACAGAAGTAAAAATGAAGTGTTGTTTTTTCACAATAAATCAAATCTGTATTACCCTAAGAAACAGTAATTATGAGAATAATGTCAAGCCAAGGGGAAAAATCTTAATGTTGAATGAATACATAACACACACATTTAAACATACATAACCACATATACATTCAAACACAACTTATTAAAAATGTGGCCCAAGGCAGAAACTGCAACTGTTTAGCCACTTTTAACCATAGTTTATCTTTCCTCAGGAAGCCAATGAGCAAAAGCATTAAAGAATACATACATATCTTATGAATCTTACAGATTCATCAAGTCTGGTTGCCAAAACCTTGTGAAGATCTACACAGGTTACATTTTAAGCAGAAAATTTCTCTGCTTTCTGATTTGCAACCCAAACTTACACACGCCTTCCTTTAACTGAAATGAGAATTCTGTTCAAAATCAGAATAAAATGTGAAACAAACCTCCATATAGAGTTGTGCCAATTATCTCTTTTCCCATAGGCAGCACTTCCTCATCTGAATAGTAGTTTTTCACTGCAACTTGTATGACATAACTTGAAAATGGCTGTAGGTTGTCTATGACAGCTATAGGACCCTGAAATTCCTATAATACAAAATCAGATAATAAACATGTATTCTTAGAAAATAGAGTCATATGTCACACCAATCATCTACCAATGAAATGAATGTTAAAAAATAATACAGTAATGCTTTTTTATTCTAATACACTTTAGTGTTTAAAAAAGAATGTTAAAATGATAGTTTGGGTAATAGGTCACTACAGAAAACACATACCAAAAAACAAGCTGAGGCGTAATTAGCATGGCTACAATAGCACATTGTTCAGTGGCTGGTACTTAAATAGGAAATGGTAAAGTAAAAAAAAAAATGTAACAGAAGAAAAAATTACTAAGGCAAGTACAACTACCACAAAACACATAAAGGCAAGCCATATGGTTGCTGGACAGTCTCAAGAGTTATTTAAACAGATTAATATCAACCACAACTGCTCTTTTTACAAGTAGAAACTGAAGACCCATTTCAACAGGATTTTAGCAAAGGCACATTAGAAAGTAGAGGAGTACTTGCACAAAAGAAAGCTAAGGAATCTACTGCTTAGCAAATACCAAACAGAAAGGGGAATTACTGTTGGGGATGTAGAAGTGGAAAAACTCCCTGATAGAAAGTTACAGAACGGTTTATAAAATTACTAGAAGTGGTATCACATTCCTGTTTATATATGATATCACATGCATTTTGGTTCCAAAATAGTCATACCAATGCTTTTTGCTGTAGAGCAGACAAACAGCAGCTTGAGTTCCTGCGGTTGTTAGTCATTTGTCTGAGAAATACCAGATACGTCGGTGTAGGCTGCAATATGCTGGGGCATAGCTGCTGTGGTGTGACAGATGGCAAGCTTAACGTAAAACTGGTGTTCGTCGTATCAAGGATAGTAGGTTTCTCCATGTCTGGCAATAGAATCAGGCATCTTTTATCTAGGAAAGACGTAAAAAAATTTTAAAAAAGTAATTACTGTTGGACCAATCCAAACTTGCATGGGATTCTGCCACTATTTCTGTGAGAAAGCATAACCACAAAGTATTCTCTCTGCTTTCACAAACAGAAACAGAAAAAAATCCCACCTGAATGTACTTTATTTGATTACTTTCATGGACACCAAAAATAGGGGTTATCAAAGTAAAGTCTCATTTATCTTTGATAAGACACAGATTTACTAAAGGTACAGATTTACTAAAGAATTTAGGTTCTTCTTTAAGTACCTAAATACCTTGGAAATCCAGGTAGTTGCTGTGTTATCATCAAGGGCAGTACACACTGATGAGTCCAAAATTGTTTGTCACAGGAAAGACAGATACACAGAATAGAGACTACCTTTCTCTAGCAATTAAATGTTACGTCTCTTCTCTTCCAAACAGCTTTTCATGTGTAAAGTTCATAGTAACAACAGGGAAAGGGGAGACAAATTTTGGAAGGAGAAAAGGAGTCTTTAGGGAGAAAACAATAGAAAACTACTCTGTGACAGTAAACAAAAAGTAACAAAACAAAACCCCTCATCACTTGATGTACTTTTAAAAACAAATTAAAAATACATTAAATGGACTTGGTACCAAGAAGGAAAATATTAATGCGCATGCATGGGGAAGATGGTACAAGGACAAATGTTTGCCCTTAGGCCAGAACAACTGACTTCATTGTCAAGATCTTTTCTCCCTAAATGAGCAACCCTGCCATTCCTACCAAAGTCAGGTTCATGAATATAAGGGAAGGAGAATAAAAAAGTCTGTTCAACAGAAATAAATATAAGGTTGAATCTTTGTCAATTTTATAGTTACCTAGAGTAGTAAAACTCCCATGGGAAAAGTCCCAGATGGGATAAAGGATTGAGTCATTTTCAGAGTTAAAGTTTCTGTCAGGCAGTTCCATAGAAATGTGTTTACCCTGACAAAAAAATCCTTCACTACATATTCAGTCCCCTTCCTCCTAACCCTGAAGAGAAATCATTCTCTCACAGAATCCGCGACAGGACAATAATTTTCACTGAGTACTTCTGATGTGTTAAATGATCAACTGACATCACATATCTGGATGGCAATTAAATAGGTTAGAATGAAAGAAAACTCTAGCAGTATTCCTTGCTCACATCACTAAAGTCATAAAAAGCATGTCAGTCAACCCAGCTGGTCTTCGCAAACATCACTTTTCACATATACACCATTTGCTTTCAGTACTGAGAAGGAGAAGAAAATATTTTTTTTCTTATATTAGTATGTTCATTTACTTTTATCTTAAACTTCTGTGAACGATTCTGTGCATTGCCCTCCCCCTGCAAATGCCAAGTGTATTCTTCCAAATATATTTGTAGCAGTCAATGTAAATAAGAAGAGCTCTGTGCGGATCTCTGGGTAGAAATAATCCCTTTGGACAGAAATTCGGTTCTTCTCTTTCTGCACTAGCTAAGCCTGAGGCTCTTGCAGGAAACCTTATCCCTGGGGATAAGGATTGGTACATTCTGTACCAAAACAGGCTCCTGCACCAATGCCAAGCCCACACAGACCTCATGGGAACAAACTTGCCCAAAGTCCTGGTAAGAATAGCCTGGGCACTGGTCAGGGCAGCTGCAGGCAGGAGTAACTCTACTGGCTGCCCAAAACAATGTGAAATTCTTTTATTCCAAAGAAGTCCATCCTGTTAAAATGTTCTCTTGTATATTTGTCAGATTTTTATGCAAGACGGAAGTTAAAGAATGATTTTTAATATAATCATCATGCTAGTAGCTGTTCTAAACCTCTGCATTTACAAAGATAATCCCCATAGGTACCATGAATCCTAACTTTCTGTTAAAACTAATTTTTATTTCTTTCATTATCATTCTACAATGATTTGTTTAAAATACTAGGAGTTCTAAGTGAAGCCTGGGTCTACTATAATGTAAGCTGTAATTGCCTCTCAGGTACTTCTTTATAAATCGTTTTAATAACCAGAGTTCTTATCTCTTTGTCTTTGGAAAGGCAGACATTTTTTTCAGCTTTGCATACTTGTGAACAAAACCAGAAATCTGTATCATAATAGGGATCATTATCAAACTCTTGCTACAACACTTTGTGGACATGTTTGCTCTTTTTCTGTGCTTTAATGTGCACCACATTTTCTAAATCTCCAGATTTGACACAACTTTGAAAATAAGCATGGCTTGGTGTTAACATCCTAAGCCTTTAAAACACAGGCAAAATTCATCATCATGACTTTCCATGCGATCCAACACAAGGCCAGTCCTTATATTCATCCTTTAAAAAATGTACATAGTGAATTGTTTCCCTCTAGAAGGTACCCGAATCCATAAAGCATACTTTACCTAAATACACATAGCACGATCTGCAACTCAAATGCAGGCTCTGCATTAAAAATAAATTTATTACATTTACAAAACAACCCAAATCCCCTCTACCTGGATACAGTTGTGCTGCTGAACTGTAGGCTAAGATTTTCAGCTGATGATTTGCTCTCTTCTGAAGAAAGTGTCTCGTGCTTTCTTTATTTGCTAGCCAAATTTCAGTGTATTCCTTTGTTTCAATGCTCCAGTATATAAATTTCTTATCTACAGTTAAGCTGCCAATTTTCTTACCTGTAGGAAAACATTGTATAGTTAAGCTTCAGAATAAACCCTGAACAGACAATTTTACAAGAGCAGATAGGTGCTTGTATTCACAGTGAGTCAATATGGGTGAGTATCTGGGTCATATCATATCTTCAAAGACCTCCCCTGGAAAGGAGATTTCTGATATTTTCCAATGGGTCTCATGAAGTTGAGACACTTGTTAATTCAGTTTACAAGTGTACAAATCTACAAGTGTAGATTTGAAGGCTTTTTATTATCCATAATTTTGAGAACTGCAATTCAATTAGCAAACACCAGAAATAAAACATAAGAGCAAGAGTTGTCTACAGAAACTTTCATCATTTTTCCAAGACGTAAACCACAGTGCTCTGCCATCTCCCAGGAACAATTAAGACAGCTCCTCTGGTAACAGAACAGCTTTACCAGCACTCCTCCAGAATTGAGCTGAAAACTGAGCAACCAAGATTAAGGTTATCATTACAAGAAGTGCAACATAGATAAGTTGTCATACAAGACTCTACCTGCATGAAATACCCTTCCCACATATTGAAGTCTGCAATGCCACTTTCAGGCGTAACTTAAGATGGTATTGTATCTTTTCATTGAGATAAACTGTAATAGGTGTATCTAATATGAAACCCCAGCAAAATAATGTATTAATACTGTAAGCGAAATCTATTGACAAGTAGCAATTGAGGCTGTAGCGTCTCCGTTTGATTTACATCTTACTAGAATACATACTTGCATCAGTAAATATTCTCACACTGCTCTTTCTCCTAGTTTGTATCAAGGGTGTACACAACTAGAAACACAGAACACAAACATTTTGCCCACTTTGCCTATAGATGAATCAATTTCATAAAGAAAGTGCTTCATGAATGCTGTTTTGCTGAAATGAACATTGTTCGATGTAAGAGACAGCATGAATCACAAACTACCTAAAAACATAACAGAGCACTCAGACCTTGAAAACTTGGTATTTTGGTAATTCTCCAGCAGTGGCAACCATCCACATCTGAGGCCCATATTTCGTCTCTTCCTCTGATAAAGAGCAGCTGGGGATTCTTGGAGTCAGACACATCTATACTCATAGGTCTTCCTAGCTCTGCTTCTGCCACGTTACAGGTGCAGTAGTTCCTCATCTGTTCTTCCACTGATATGTATCCCAAAATGTGGTGCACGGTGTTATTCAGAATACCATAATAAAACATGCGGCTGCCATAATCAAGCTCTTCCATCCAGTACAAGCGGCTATCAAATAAAATGCATTACTTAGAATAGAAAAACTTCAATCTGAGAAATCTGCCCTAAATGCAGTCTTGTAAGTGACTACAGTCACAAACCTCCCAAACATTTAAAACAAGGTAACTACAGCAGCATACTTGCAGAGTGATTCCAGGTGTTTAAATGATATTTTTCAATGGAAGGTCACCATAACTGACTATTTTGGATAAAACGGTTACTGTAAAAAATCGTCGTCTGGTGCTGACCTTCGTTTGCATCACTTAAACAGAAGAACCTATCAGTATTTAAGTATCTTTTGAAATCTTTACTCAAATGCAGACATCTTTTTGAAACTAGATATGTCCAAGCTCCAAGCAGTATAAAAGTAGAACTACATCCAGAAATTTCTGAGATTTACACAATGCAAAAGACTTATATAATATAAAAAGTCCTTTTTGGTCCTTAACAGTTGATGACTTCATGAAAATCATGTTTAAAATACGCTTTAAAAAGTTATTAGTAATATATGCCTTACCTTAAGAAAGGATATGACAACAGAGATGATACAGTTGAATTACTTTTACTCAACTGTATGTTCAAGTCTTTTAGAGATTTTATCTTGAGCTCAAGATCAATGACAAATATTTGGGTTTCATTCCAGGATGTTTTCAGGGCAACAAAGAGATGTCTTGCAATCCAGTCAACTGTGATGGCTGTAGCATTGCAAAGATATGCATCTTTGAAAAACTTAAGAAAAAATAAAAACATTACTAAAACTGCTTGAAGGCAGAACTTTCCCACCTGATGCTAGGACATTATGAAATTAGATTTGTTTCCAAAATAAATTCTATTTGGCAAGTAGAAATCAAAATATAAAGAGATGCCACGGAATGAAGATTCCAATATTTCTATACAAATGAAGACTACTGTTTCACAAATATCAATTGTTGCTTCCATGTTGCTTCCATATTCTTGAAATTAGAATTAAATCAAATTAAATTAAATTACATTTGATACAAAAACAAATTTCTAAATTTCTTGTGTTTAATAGCGTGAATTTTAAATTAAATGTCTGTTGAAATATCTTATCAACAAAGCAGATGTCAGTAAAATCATACATGTTTAATAGGACAACTTTACCAATGGCATACTCTGGCCTATTCTAATAGCTGTTGATGACAGAAAAATTGAAGTCCAAATTTTATTATATTGTACATATTTTTATTGTATTGCTAGAAAGGAAAATTATCCAGCTAATCTCTTTCATATTGCATCTCATATAAACTGGCAGTCATTAAGAAAATTGTGTCTTTCCAGTTCTGTTTTCCCCACTGTATTTTACCATTAAATGTGCTTTGTTCATCATGCTGCTTTTTTTCTGTTTCAAACATGCAGTTTTGACTTCTTCAAAAACATCGTTAGCCCAGAAATAATGATAATAATGGCCGCATATTTTCCTAGATTCTCTCAAGCAAGGGAATGAACAAAGGAATACCTGAAACTTTGAAGTATTCTGTATATTCAGAAGAAAAAGAGAATCTTCTACAATATAGTACGCTTTGTCATCATTAGCAGTATAACAGATGTCCTTTACATTTGTCTTTGCTGAAAGTTCCCATATGGTATGATTATTGTCTATGTCAGTAAGAAACAACTTGTTGGCAGAAACAGTTATAAGAGTGGGGACAGGGAAAAGCTCTGGAAGGAAAAGGACACAGCAGAATTTACAAAAAAAAAATCTAGACAATAGCAGTCATTCATAAGGAAAGCAAGTACAAGATAAAAATGAATGATGGCCCTGCACATATTATATTTGGTCCTATGTCACAGCAAATAAATAAAATAATGAGATGCCTTCTTGTCATCACATGCAAACTCCTAAGATTTTTTCAATGGCATTGTGGATGTTTACCTAACAAGTTTAAGCCTAGTAAAAACAAATTTGCTCACTTAATTACCTTTAACAACCCAAATAGAAATAGCCTATGATCCCTAGTAGATTTCTAACTCTCCTGGCTACCTTTCACAGCCCAATTAGAAATATTCTATGATTTCTAGCAGGATGCAGATTACAGATCAAAATCTGCTGTTCTATACTACCCTGGGGTTGCCTAGAAAAGTTAATTTAGCATAGTTTTTAAGACTTGAAATTCCTGAAATTTAATCTAATGATAAGAAATGTGTTAATCATTTCATGTAGGAAGCTGTAACTATTTCCTCTGTGGTGTCTATTGTAGGGTGGAACAAATGTCACACAGTGTTGGATTTATTTATCAGACTACTGAATTCCTGTACTGTCAATTTCACCAGCTATTACACACAAACCATGAGATGGCATCTAAATCATCCATACCTGATGAATTCCTCTCTGCTATATCAGACAAAGGTCCTGGACCCACAGAGGTGAAGGCTTGCACCTGGGGGACAGGAGATTGTTACATATATTAAGTAGCAGCATAAATGATTGCATTTGAGAGCCTGTAGAGTCATAGTTAATGACAAAACCAGAACCAGATCCCCGGCTGCTTAGCCAGGAACATATGCATGTGCTCTGTTTGACCTAAGGCTGTGCTGGTCATCTCAAAGGCTACGTTCAGGGCTGGACCATGGCTATGAAGAGAATTTTAAGCAGTGGCCCAGAGAGTGACAATTCATGCTGCATCTATCAATTAGAGCTCAAAGGACATCAGACAGTCTTGTCTCCTTCCCCAGGCTGGAGCAATTCCTACTGTTGGTTGACGTTGCAACCAATATGGTGTTCTCCCCCATCAGTATGTGGTCTATTACATGCTCTCATGCTTTTAACTTGTCTTTCAAGCACACATTCTGTGTGTTCCAAACCTTTTATCACAATGAAAACTCTTGACAAGTTTTAATATGAAAGTCTCTTTTTATGGAAGCCATGTGAGCCCTTGCATTTCTCTAGCAGTGGAATTTCTCTTGAAATGCTCTGTTTTAATGGCCTGTCACTCTCCATCAGCTTAGTTGAATCTGTGTTTAACTTGTAGCTTTTAGTAGTGGCTTTGGGAGACCTCTAAAAAAGTTTCTTTTGGGCTTCACCAAACCTGTATAATATTGCAGCATTGTTTTTCCACCTTATTTAAGGAACAATACAATATGTAGAAACGTTAAGCCAGGTATCCAAGAGTGAATCAGTGAATCAACAGTTCCACAAGCAGAAACCACAAGTTCTTGCCCCAAGCCCAATACCGTCTCCTAGGCAAACACATCAGGCTGCACTGATAACATCTACCATCTAGCATGAGATAAGCTCAGTAGTTTTTCATACCTGAAACCTTACTGTGAGGCTGGGAAGCACATCCCTGAGAGTAAAGAGCATCAGAGTGGGTTTAACGTTGCTCACGTTCCACTCTGTGAAAGTGTCGGCAGTGCCACTCTGACTCAATAGTTGATAGTAAACCTTGAACAGTGTTAATACTCCGTTTTCCTTTTCAGGTCTGTCCCACCTGAACTCCACAAGGACCTTCTCATAACTTTCATGTAGGTTATTTCGTAACACATATATTCTAGGGTTTGTAGGGGGTGAAGGAACTGTATTAAAAAAAAAGATAAAAAACACAGAGCAAAGTACTCCTATTGAAACAAACTCTACCTCGTAATTAATTCTTTTAGTTTTGAGCCTGAGCTTTACAATCCCGACACTGACAGAGACAGATAGCAATTGGTGAGATGTAAATTACAGATGAATATCTAAAACTTCATGGTAATTCCTTTCTGTTTTTCATTGGTGTGTAGGTATCTGATTTTAACTTGCTTAGCAAAAAAAGAGCTGTATAAACAGAGACAAATGCACTCTTGCACTCAGATTGGGACATATCTATTTAGCCAAGTCCTGTAGGTAACAATGGAGCTGCAAGAATTTTCACAACATGGAGCGTACTCTATCCCCTCTCCTATCCACTTCAAAATCTACTGCAGGTCATAAGCTTTCTCAGCACTTCAGTCACTCAACACTATATTTTAGCTGACTTAACTTTGACCTTCATGAGAGCAAAAATAAACACTGAAGTAAAAAGTGCATAACATTTATTAAAAATTTAATAAGTGGTTAAGATATTACATGCAGCCTTTGATGGTCATTGTAATGCATCTCAATTTCTCTTTATTGCTCATAGTGATAGGCATGTGGTGGATATATTGTCATGCGCTTTCTGTTCCAAATTCTACTACTGCAATTGAGTGCATTTATGTGTGCAATAGATAATTGCCAAAGATACTCAAGAACAGGTCCTTATAATTCTGCCTACAGCTATCTAGACCCGAAAGCTGCTTATTGCTCTCCAGGGTTTCACTTGCTGACATAGACCTGGTCCCAGGTCACCATTACAGGTGAGGAGTGGGATTTAAAATTCTAGTACCTCCTTCAGGTGCTCGAAGGGATACAGACGTTGTTGGTGCCTTGCCCCAGTATGTGTATGGAGTGACGGTAAAATCAAAGAGTGCAAATGGTTCCAGCCAATCAATGCGGTAGGATGGCATTGTCAGGTTATGGGGATGGAGGCAACGTCCACTCTCCAAAGACTGTGAATGAAATAAAACAGAATAAAATAAAACAAAGCATTTTTCCCCTGTTAGAAAAGCCTTCAGTTTTCTAAAATTCCCCTCACCAATCTAGTCAACTAAATCAAGACAGAGCTTCTCTTCCTGTGAGTGATCGTTGTTTCACCAACTCCTGTGGCACTGTAGCAATACGTAGCAATCTGCTAGAAATCTGCCCTTTGAATTGAAAGTAAAGCTTGCCAAATTTGCTAAAATTAAGTGTGGATGAAGGCTAGATTTCACATTCAGGCAAAAGCTGTCCCACTGGCAGCTCAGAGGACACTTCTGTCTCTGAGTTACTGTGAAAGGCTTTCTCACACATCTTTGAGCATTGGGAGCTCCTCGCCTGGCACTTCACACCCCAGCAGCTAGCCCAGAGCTACTGCTAAGCCCGTGTTCCTCCTATGTTGGCCTCAGTCATGGAGAAACAGGACAGCTTTCTTTATATTTACAGTTTAGTTTGGTTGCTTGACCGATTTGTAAATGCTGGAGAAGAAACAAACTGTATTTCTGTTTAAAAATAAATATGTCAGCAAGTAGATGCAGTAATACATGTAGATAATAATGAGGGGTTGCATGAATATCCTCACTTGTAGAGCTTTTGATCCCACACAGTAAAAGACAGCTCCCCATTCCACATTTGTGCAGGGACTCCAAGTGACGTGAAAACTTGAAGAATTTCCTTTAATCCTGAAGGAAGACTTTGGCACCGAATCCGGAATCACTTTTGGTATAAAAGAAAAATTTCCTGTCCATAAAAAGAGGAAGAAATAATAATAATTTAAAGAATATGAGCAATAAGTAGACTTTTCAAACCTGACTTAAAAGATTAAAGTACTATGGGAAATCCTGTAAGCTGTCATTAGACATAAACAATGAATAACAACACCATGTATTCTTTTTAGCCATACCCACCAGCTTTTATAATTGCACATTATCCATGTATAGCCTGATATATTTATTAATAAGTTGCTGTTGTTCTTATCTTTTGTCAAATGACTAAAGAATTTCAAGAATGAAGAATTACAGGCTGACAGTGAATACCTTTACTGAGGGGTTTAGATAAAGAAAATAACGTACCTGGCAAAGGTTTAAGTGATGTGTGAACAAGGGTAAAGGCTGCAAACTCTGCTGGTTGTGAGAACGGAATGCTAAGGCTCTGATTGACTTCCTGAGTTGTAATGAGCTGAAGACTATTAATCCAGAACAGACGACCACTGTAGTATTCCAGTGCACCCTGGGATATTTCTGAAGTACTCCATGCTGCAAATTCTGTGACGATGGCATTACCACAACTGTGAAAACATGTGTGAAATTAGCAAACTGAAAACACACGTGTAGAGAGAACAAGATTTATGGAATGTTTGATGCATCAATAAGTTTCCCATTATTCAAATTCTTAATACTCATGTAGGAGGCAGGAAAACAATTCAAAAAGTTTTCTTTAAGTTCTCTAACGCAGAAGACTTTTTAGAATAACACATTGCAGGAGCACCTGTGAAAAAAAGGCTTCATTTCCTTGATTTCATTAGAAAACAATTATAAAATGGCTTAATATTCTGATGCATGGATGTAGAAAATTGAGTATTTTGAAAAATCAGCCCACCTTCTCTCAGCAATACCACTGAAACTGTGGAGTCTACTTCACAGCATGAGATTCATTCTACTTCATCAGAGTAGGTCCCCAGATGAATTTGACCCTGCTAGTTTCCTCGATAACTTTCCATTATTTATTAAACTCTATTAACATTTTCCTCCACTGGGATCATTGGTGATATAATCTGTCTTGTTACTTCTATATCAAAACTTACAGGCCTTTTTTAGTCCCAATTTATCTTCTGGATGAGAGATTAAATACGTTGTAAAAGGCATCATTTTGTCATCTCAGAAATGTCTTTCAGCTTAGACACATGCTGTCCAAAACAAATTTGGAAAAGCTTTGACACGCCATCAGGTCCATTAGGATGGATTACTCCTAATCTCTCTATTCTGCCATGCCAGGGACAATGATTTATGGCTGCCAATTGGTTCACAATGGAGCTGCATGTTCTAGCTGAAACTAATCAACATATTTTGATTCTTTAAATGTTTACCATTAATCATAGCAAGTCTAAAATCAGTCAGAAAACTCAGCTGATTGCACACAAAGTCAGCCTGCAACATTATGAGCACATGTAAATACAGATACTGTTCAATTAAGTTTAAGAAGTTTAATCTGATGCTTGAAAAAAAGAATGGCACTCTCCATGTGAAAAGGAGCAAAAACATCATTTCATGAGCTACCACTCATTATGCACTTGGCACTTACAGAACAAATTACCATTTTTCTCAAAGTCTTAGTATGTATTCAAGCTGACCCATAAACACGGTTTTGTTTTGGGTTTTTTTAAACTTTGCCTTTCAGCAATAATGCAGCCATTTCATGCTCAGGATGATCAAGAGGAAAGCCTGCTCAGTAGTGATTGCCCAGGTGAGAAAGCAGTGTCAGTTCAAGTCCTAAGCTCCATGCATGATGAACAAGTTAGCTAGGCACTTGAAAACTGTCAGTGTTGTAAATGCCAAGATAAAATAGACAATAAATGGTGATTATTTCCTAAAGCTTAGTCTAAAAATTGATGAGCATGACCTCAGTTCAGTTGAGCTTCCATACTGTGTTTCTCTCACTGTAAAACCGTGTTAACAACCATCTCAACATGTAGTTTGCCATCAGCTAGATGTGATCATTAGCTCTTCTTTTTGTTTATTGTTAAGTTAGTAACTAGTGTACCTAACATTGGATAAAATTTGTTTTTAAAGAGTTTTACAAAAACTAGAAAATACAGACTTTCTTACCTCTTCCACACATTTACTTACCCTTCTTTGCAAAGAGAAACTCTGTATAGGTTTAAGCATAGACTATCTCGCACAAGCCAGTAAAGAAAACCATAGGTGAGATCCAAAGTTAAACCAACCACCTAAGAAAAAAAAAGTTCAAATGGCAATTTGAACACACCTTCACTTCTGCAGTAAAAGCCCTTAGGCAACTGTTGTCTAAACAGCATCATGAGTAGCTCTTTATTGGCAAAAATAACATTACTACCATGAATGTTTATTCTAACACAAAAAGAGGTAGCACTAGAAAATAATCAGGTCCTTGGTGGACACCTATTTATAGCAGTCAATGATTTTCTAGATAGCATTTTATGAGCACCTGTCACAGTGTTCATCCCTGGAGTATCTGAGTACTTCAGATATGATGGCAATAGTGTATCAAGTGATTAGTGGAACTACCTCTCAAAATTTCCAGAACACCTCTGGTATTTTAACATTTTTTGTCTGAAACAGGTGGTTCATAACCAGTCTAAAAGTCAGAATCACCTTTTGAAAGAAGTATTTCAGATCTTTTGTCTTTGTTTTCTAGCTTTGATTTTATGCACGCAATATTGAATGTGTTGCATTATTTATGGAAAATACATACAAATTTTTTATTGACGTATTTGGTTAAACAGGAAATTCAAATATTTACATTTTGGTAAATCATTTATTATTAAATAAAAAGTCCGGGGGGGG